ATTTGTCAGGAGTGGGTCCTGGGATCCGTGTGTTGAAAAGGCGTCAAGATGATTCACGCAGTTAGCAGGGTCGAAAGGATTGCTCTAAAACGTGTCACTGAGAATTGTCACTCTCCACAGTCCAGTGCACTCCACTCCAGGACGAGACAGGCGGGAGTCCTGCTGCATGTCCATCTCCGGAAGATGCACCCCTGGATATGCCTTGAGCATGGCTGGCCTCCAGGCCACTGTCCTCTCTGCTTTCCCCACTGTGAAGGGTCCGTCTGGTTCTTCCCTGTCCTCCTTCCTGGCCCCCACAGACCCTCCGGGTCCTGAGGGAGTCTCCTATGTCTGTCCCAGCTCTAGTTGCTGGTGGTAAGGCTGGCACTGGGGAAGGAGGGAAGCTGTGCTGTGGACAGTGTGGCCGGGAGGAGAGGATGTGGAGAAGAGGGCCGGGCAAGGGAAAGTAAGGGGTGATTTCGAGGGAATGAAAAGAAGAAAGGCAGAGGGTGCTTCTCCATGGCGTCTGCTGTGTCCGCAGTCTGGAAGGCAGAGGGTGGGCTGGAACGCACGCACCTAGGAGCCAGTCCTGGGGCTCCATCACTTACTAGCTGCTTGATCCTGGGGAAATTGCTTAATCCTGTTCCACCAGAAAGGGGTGACCCTCAGGGATTCAAAACAGGTGTGCCTGATTTAAGCCCCCCAAACATCTTCCCAGCTTATCTAGCGTCTCCTAGTCCATCGCCACAGAACAGGCCCTGGGTGATGAACACAGTAATTAATAACTTCCCAGATAATAGTTGAGCTCGTTTTTAAATTCCTATAGTCAAGTAAGTTGGGAGAATGTTACAAGAAGATTAGTTTGGAAAAAAATGGTGTGTCATTTATTATCAGCCTAGAACATTCAGGATTGTCATTCATAAGAAATAAGCTCATTGTTAATAGAAGATTACTTTTCTTGTCTTTATGTGACTAGTTTCTTAAATTAAAAATCAACTTTTTTTCTTATTGCAAAAGCGATGCATGTTCATCTAATACAAACTGGAAAATAAAGATAAGCAAATAATACAAAATTAAACACACAGATAATCCCTCCACCCAGATATAACTGCTGTAAATAAATGCCTTCTCAACTTTCTGTGTTTTTGTGCAGATTTTTAAAAATCATAGTGTGCTCTTTCTTTCACTTTACAAACTTCTGCTCCACAGCATTCCGTGTCAACACATCTGCCTTGACTGTGTCGTTTTTTATGTCTGCTTATTAAGGTGAATAATTTTATTTGTTTTTAAGCCACCTTTGTTTACTCAGAAGCCAGAGACCCACATAAGCAGACCTCTGAAGAGCCAGGTGTGGCTTGGGGAGAGGCTGCATAATTCACAACAAACACAAACTATAAAAACAATTACAACCAGCCTGACAGCTGTGCGTCTGTTTCCTATGGCCCTTCTGTCCACAAGTCTAGACTTCAAAGAAAAGTCAACAGAGAGGAGGTCCGGAGGATGAGGTGCCCTTGAGACTCAGACCCGCGATAAGAGATTAGAGGACGGTCGATCAAAGACCCAGCATAAAAGTGCTAGCCCACAACTCGCTGTGGCCCCAAAACAATCATCAGAACAGAGAGCTCTCTTTGAAGTGATTGGCAGCGCCCTGCTCCATGAACTCCCTGGTGAAAGGGGGATTTACAACGGGGTAGGGGAAGGAGTTTACGAAGGTGCCTCTTTGCTGTCTTGGCCGAGTACCCCTCACAGGTGGAGGACGCTGCCTCTTTGCTTTGTCGTCCAGATGTATGTAGTTTAACTGTGCTGGGTCTCAGGTGAGGCGTTCCGCCCGAGGGGAAGGGCCGTCATCTCCTCTGGAGGACGTGGGAAATACACACACGTCCCCACGGCACTGGGTTCCCGCTCACTAGCGTGGACCTGCAGCCACCGCTCCCCTTTCATTAGGATGTTGGAATGGGCACGTGGCGTCTCCAGATCCTTGGGAGGACCTGCTCGTCGCTCTCCTTGTTCCCTCTCCTCCTTCCTTACCCGTGCACTGGTCTCCCAACCAGGAGTTTGGTGCTCTTTGTGTTGAAACTGTCCATTTCCCCAGGGAAGGGAAGATGATAGAAGTGCTCCCAAAATGGCAGCAGCCTTTACAACATTCAGTTCAAATTTTTTAAAGTATTTTCAAAAACAAGAGTTACATAAAATTGTTAAAAATGTGTGCTCAGAATGTCTTTAGTTAGCCCTTCTTTCAGGTTCCAGTTTTCTGGTTTTTCACTTTACCTGAAAGTCCTCTATGTATGTAGCGTCTTTATTTTCACGTCTCCTGTCATTGTATCTTCATTTCCTTCAAAGTTCAGGGAATGGCTTTTTCTCTCCGCCTTTTTTGGATCACTTTCCTGACCTTCACCTGAGGTTCCGAGTTAGAGTTCTCCCTGATGCGTCTTGACTGAGCGCTGTGTTGGGCCCCGTGAGAGAAGTGGAACACACATTCTCTCCTCTACCAGAACCAGGTCGGGAGACAATGGATTTTCCAACAAAAAGTGAATGTGATGCCAGCTGCAGGGCTTTGTAAGGACAGTCCTTCGTGAAGAGGAAGATTTGAACTGCACCTTGCAAGTGCCTGAAATTTCTGAACGTGAACAAATGAAAATGGGTATCTTAGTAGAGGACAGGGCAGCCTGGTCAAAGTTACAGACGCAGAAAAGCCTGAGGTGTTTCTCAGCAGAAACTGAGTACGTTCTTTTAATTGGGGCAGAAGGCTCGTGAGAAAGCAGTGAGAGGGAGCTTCACTGGATGTATCAGGGTTGGAATATGCTGTGGAATCTGGGTTTGTTGTGAATGCAAAGGATTATATTGAAGACCTTGGAGGGGAAAATGGCATGCTGACATGTTAGGATGACTTTAAGCTGACTGTCTCACAGCAGGGATTGGGGTGGGGGAGGCCTGGGCTGTAGCCTGGGTGATGGGCGCAAGCAGAGCCCGAGGATGGAGCCCGAGATAGAGTGGAGGCAGAGGGAGTGGAAGGACTGGATGGACTCTGAGTGGGAGATGAGAGCTGTGGGACCTGTGGGAGCAGGGAGGGCCGTGTAGGAGGCGGGAGTGAGGGCTCGTGGGGGCCGCAGGAGCGTCCTCACACATGCCCGTCATCGCACGCCTTCACTGAACGCTAGGTGGTGGGAACACAGAGGCTGAGTTCATCCGCAGAATAGTTAGGAAGGCAGAGAGGGATTCACAAGGAGAGCGTTAGAGCTAAGTGGGGAGTGAGCTCTCAGGAGTTCAGAGAAGCAATATTCCCTCAAGTTGGGAGTCATGAGAGCTTCAGGGAAGAGATGGGACGGAAGGAGACCTTGCAGAGCAGGTGAAATTTGGAAGGAGTGGAGGAGGAGTTAAAGGGTGGCTTGAGGGGAGAGATGTGGAGGCACAGGGCGGGAACAGAAGAGTGTCTGTGGCACTGGGAGCAAGCCCGTCTGGTTGGAGCAGAGAGTTTGTGTAAAAACAGAGGGGAGAAAAGAGAAGGGGGAGACTTGATTAGTCTAGGAAAGATGCAGAGGCCAAGGGAAAGAGTTTGTCATTTAACCCAGGCGATGTCAAGCCACAGACATTTTTGAGCAAGGGACTGGCCGGTGCAAAAGGGTATTTGGGCAAGTTTAATGTGTGAAAGATGTGTGGAATGTATAAAAGTAGGGAGACGGTGCTAGCAAGGTGAGTAGTTGGGTGGCTTCTAGACAAAGGGAATGAAGCTGTAAACAAAGATGACGCTTATCTTGGAAAGAGTACAGAAAAGAGGCAAAGGAGGGACCAACGAGCCCGAGGGGGAGGGAGAAACACGAGTTCTGCCCAGGGTTTCAACCTGTGAGGCTGTGATATGGATTGTGCTGCCCACCAAAGTGTGGACATCTGCAGAGGGCTGGTTTGGAGGTGCCAGAGTTTGGTGTTGAAGAGATGGAGCTTGAGATGCAGCCAAGCAAACGGGTCCAGAAGGTGGTCACAAGGGCGGGAGGCTCAGCTGGAGACAGATTCACCATTCCAAGTTGAAAAAATCCACACAGCTCAGCAATTGTTTGAAGTTGTTAATTAATTAATTTTATGTAATCAGAAAGTGAAGTATTTTCAAAAGCTCGTTTGAGAACTTACACTCTCTTGAGACAGAGGAATTCTCAATTGCTCTTTTGTTTTCATTGCAAAACAGTTCAACTTGTATGAGAAGGAACGTGGGGAGGGCAGTGGGAGGGTTTCTCACTCTTGCGGATGTGGAGATTATGGGCGTTGGCCTCCTGTACATAATAGTCTTCTCTTCAATGGTAATAATTCATATTTGATGCATTTTTCTATCAGTTGCAGCGCCTAGCACAGTGTTTTGCACATTGTAAATACTCAGTGTTGATTGATTTGTATTTTCATCGTGGTTCTCAAAGATAAAAGTGTGGACATAAGAAAAACTAACAAGTTTACAGCCAATTTTGTAATGACAGACTCTACATAAATGCAAATTGGATGTCAAATTTGATTTGCAAAAACCTTGTAAGCAAGGTCCAAGAAGTAATAACTGTAGCTTCAGATCTTTACTAGAATGATAAAACCATTAACAATCCCGCACCCTTGGCGTCTCAGAGACATTCAGAAGTCACAGCACCTTGAAGAGCAGAGTCAGCAGCTGAAGTTATCTGAGTGAGGGTGAGCTTGCTAACCCCAGGCCCGGGACGGCCAGGGCAGACCTATGTTCTTTTCATCTGAGATAGGAACTATAGAACCTCAGTATCTGAGGAGGGAAGGAGATGTAGGATATAGGTCTGGGAGGACCCAGACCTCTCAAGAGTAAAACCAACCTGCACTATATAGACTAAAGGAAAGGAAGACTATGTGCCAATAATATTCATCATTCCCCCTGAATTGATGTTCTATAAGTACAAAAAAGGAACATCAGTCCAGTTGACTTGATCATAAAGGAGAAGCAACGTGTTTCTTTTTTCCCCTTCCAAGCTACTTAAGAAACACAGCCTTCAATTTATCTCGTCCTCTCTCTGGTCTTCCAGCTGCTCGACTGCTCCAGAACATGGATGCCACCGCTGAGCCTTGCGCAGACTTTTTCAAATATGCCTGTGGAGGCTGGTTGAAACGCAACATCATTCCTGAGACCAGCTCCCGTTACAGTAACTTTGACATTTTAAGAGATGAACTAGAAGTCATTTTGAAAGGTTAGTGGAGTTGGTGTCTATGCATCAAAGATTTCTCTCTTAATTTATCAATTTTTTAAGATACAACTCTTAGTCACAAAAGGTTAACGTAGATAATCCCTCCAAGTTTTGTAGACCACCACTCAGTCACTCTGAGGGTGGTAAGCACTGAAAGGGATATGTTGGTGTCTCTTAGCATCCCTGCTTTCATTTGTAGGTACACAAACAATAAAGTTCTACCATCTCTGGAGATGGCATCTTTCTACCATTTTGCAGAAGAAGAAATTAAATGATTGTCACTAAACACCACCTCCATGTCTTCCCACCTCAGCCCTGGAGTATATTTATTCTAACCCCACTAAGACACTCTCTCTGGAAGTTGAAAAAGTTGTGTCCAGTCGTCTACTATCCTCCATCTTCTAGAAGTCTGTAGTGGTTAGTGCTGTCGAGTGGATTCCAAATCCTAGTGACCCTGGGGACAGCAGAGTGGAACCCTGCCTGGTCTTTTTGCGCCATCCCCTCACCTTCCTGCACTGGATCAGATAATGCTCCCTGCTATTCATAGGGTTTCCATGGCCAGTTTTTTTGGAAGTAGGTGGCCGGGTCCTTCCTGGTCTGTCTAGTCTGGAAGCTCCACTGAAACCTGTCCACCGTGGGTGACCCTTCTGGTGTTTGAAATCTCGGTGGCATAGCTTTCTGCATCACAGCAATACACAGCCGCCACAGTGTGACAACAGACAGATGGGTGGTGTGGTTCCCTGACTGGGACACGAACTCGGGCCTCAGTGGTGAGAGCACCAGATCTTAACCACTAGACCACCAGGGCTGGCTCTTCAGAAGTTACTTTGTAGAAAAACAATTTTTGCTATTTTCCAACATACAAACAAGTAGAACAATTCATTCAATTCATTTGGAGCATGAACAGTACGATCACACAGAGGTAATTATTTCCCAGCCATCAAGAAGACTATTATATTAAATTCCAAATTCCTCTGTATTATTGTTTTCTTTTTAATCTCAATTTCAAGAAAAGTAGCTTATCTGTGGCAGAGCAGTACACATCACAGTTCACAAAAAAAGATAAGCTTGTCAAAAAGACTCATCTGACTTGGCTGATGAAACTAACTCCCAGTTCTGCACTACGAACAATGATCTGGGAAGGGGGCTGGTTTTTCCTATAGGGTTTTGGAATGGGGGGAGTGAACGTACATACACAAAAGCAGGGTTTTTAGTGATCATGCATTGAAAATGTTAATGACAGCTGCAAATGATCAGTTATACTGATGGATTTTACTAAATGCCCTCTTTCAGATGTCCTTCAGGAACCTAAAACTGAAGATATAGTAGCCGTGCAGAAGGCAAAAACTCTGTACAGGTCTTGTGTAAACGAATGTAAGTTATCTCATGTTATCTCAGTAGGAGGGTGCCAGGGCGTGCATAGACCTCATAATGCTGTGTCTTCATTGTTTCCACAGCTGTTATTGACAGCAGAGGCGGGGAGCCGCTCCTCACACTGTTACCAGGCATCTACAACTGGCCGGTGGCGACAGAAAACTGGGAGCAAGTGTACGGTGAGGCAGTTTTCCTTCTTTTTAAAAAAAATAATTGCCACGCAAAATCTGTTATTATTGTATTACAGTCTCATATGAATGCCCTAAAGCTTCTAAAGATGTACCTCACCTTTCCTTGCTTTAGGTACTTCTTGGACAGCTGAGAAATCTATTGCACAACTGAATTCTAAATATGGGAAAAAAGTCATTATTAATTTTTTTGTTGGCACTGATGATAAGAACTCTATGAAGCACATAATTCATGTAAGTTTGTGTGGCCGACAGCCGGAGTTATCTTTAAATTGTAATAAAAATTCCACACTAGTGGTCGTCATTGATGTTTAGAAATACTGCATATTCTCATTTGAATTGTGTGAGCAAGGTGGTGATAAATTCACACTCTGTCCCTGATAACTGGATTCCCAGTTTTGAAAGTATTTTCTTAACGCCATGTTTTAGACATTCATCTCTCCTTTCTACTACCTCTGTTGTAGATACCTCTCCCTTTATAAAATAAGTGATAAGAAATGAAAGACTTCAGGCCCCTCCTATTTAGAAAAAGCCAATAATTTCTCTGTATGTTCATGGAAGGAGCAGGGTCTGGTTTATGTAAGTAACTCAGGTCTGAAGCCAGAAATTCCTAATTGCTTCCAAAAAGAACACAGAAAAGGAATTTTGAACACAATTTTGGTTCTTGCTAAAGAATACCTATACTTTTTTCCTCAGTTAAGGTAAATAAAATGCCATTCTTTTTAAATGGCTTTATTAGGTTGCTTTTTTTCCTTAATGGGAGCCATTCATTTAGGTTTACCTAAGGTGTCACCTAAGATGAGATTAATACTTAATGAATATGTTTGGAATGGACTAAAAAATTTATAGAGCTTTTATTTGGTCTCCTGTAAAAGCAACTAAACCAAAATTTGCAGGTCATAGAATCATATTCATGACACTATTGCATGCATCTTTACGGTCATTTTTATTAAAATCATGAAACAGATTGAACTCAACTCTCTTCTAGAGTGGACCCCTTTCTCCCTTCTGCCATCCTCTCCTCTGGCTCTCAAATGCCAGCATCCTGCAGAGTCTCCATGAAGGGTTCTTAAGGAGGGTTGGGAGGTTGGAGAAGGAGCAGGGCCTTCCCGTGGGGATGCCTTCTGGCTCTTTCCACACCAGTCCTCTAGGTTCTGTTCTTGTGTCCTGGCTCTTTACGTCTGCTAGGATTCTCACTTTAACCCACAAATGCTCTGGTTGGCCCCTGTACCCATCTTACCTTGCAGTGCACAGAGGCCATCTCACAGAGCCGAGGGTGTCCAGGTGGCCCTCAATGGATATTGAGGGCGGGCCAGACACACAAGAGCCCAGCTGAGTTTCCTCTTTCACACTCTGCACTGGCAGCTGGGTCCTGAGCAGAGTAGCTTTGGAGAGAACCAAGGAGGAGTCTCCTCCATCGCCTTAGGGTAGAGGATCTCAAAAAAATCTCTGGCGAGATTTCCGCTAGCTAAAAAGTTCTCAAGTTACCATGGAGGTTTTCCACCATTTTTTTTTTCCCATCCCAATTAAGGATGGGGGTAGAAGATACTGTCCCCAGGGGAGCATGTTAGAGCCTCAGGAAGCTGGATGTCCTGTAAATGTGGGATTTAGAAATTCCTCAGTCCTTGATCCTAACAGCACCTTCTCTTCTGTATTAAAATCCTTCCCAGTATATTTTTTTGTTCAGGTTTTCTTTGGTTTTCCTCAAATATCTGTAGCACAGTCTCCAAGGTTATCTGACTACACATCAGTTTAACACTTAGAAGTAGTGTGGAAACTGCTTCCTAACTGTGTGTTCACTCAGCGTCTGAGTGTTGCCCTCATGAACAGCGGGAGCGCCAGGCTGTTGCTCATATGTAGATAGGCGTGCTTGTATTTTGTCCCACTGTTCTGTATCAACTGAATGGTTTATTTTCTTCTTTTGTATATTTTTTATAGATTGACCAACCTCGACTTGGCCTCCCTTCCAGAGACTACTATGAATGCAGTGGAATATATAAAGAGGTAAAAAAAAAAAAAAAAAACCACGAACAAACTAAAACAGAACTGGGGAAGGTGTTGGTTCCGTAAATGTTTTCCTTATGATCATTTTATAGATCAGAAGTAAGTTAAGTTTACTGTTGATGATCCTAATGGGTCACAGTGTGGTGAGGGGACTGAAATTACTTCTAAGGTAAAATTTTTAGCTAAATATATTTTTGCCAGACATTTATTTTGCCTAATTATTAAGTTCAAATAAGGGTAGAGGCTTGCACAGTATTGAAATGAAGAAAAAGATTATAAAAGGCCACAATTAGTAACACAGACAGTCAAATGGGGGTGAGATATTTGAGTCCGTCACATCTGGTTATTGTGTGGGTCATAGCTATTGGCCTCATGACCTGTCCAGCTGCTTCCTGTTGCAGAGCTGAATCTTGCAGAAGAATTTTGACTCATTATACTACATTTTCATTATCAATAACTGGGGTGTTTTTCATATTTAGGATTGCATCCTAAAAACATCAAATTTTTTCAATCCTAAAAATATTTCTTTTCATTTTAACATTTGTGGTGTCAAGGTATACCTGGCAGTCAGTGTACACATTTAATGTGGTAAAGTTTCTTTTTTGTTTGTTTTTCCAAAAAGCTGTTGTTAAGATGATGGTGTGTGTGTGCATTTTATGTCCAATGCTATCTCCTAATCTGGAGCAGGTCACTAACTGGCGTCCATGGGCTCAACTCTGATATAGAGGCATTTTTGATTAAGCTGCAGTTTTGCTTAATTTTGGATTAGCTGCCAGTATTTTAAGAAATTGGAAGATTTCACTTGAGAATCCAGATTTCTTGATAAATTGGTAGAACTGGAAGCTCTCGGCCGTGTTCCCCTGTGGCGGCAAAGACAGAGCTGTGCGCCGTCGCCTCCTGCGGACAGGGCCTCGTTCTCCAGCTTTGAGCCGTCTGCACCTCGGTGATTCATTGATTTATATTGACTTCCCTGTCCCTGTAGGCCCCTGAGTTTGTAAATTAGTTGGGTCCTGGCTAAGCTGCAGTAACAAAGAGACCCCAAAATACTGTAGCTCAAACAAGAGGAAGTTTATTTCTGTCTCCCGTGACAGTGCAGAGGTAGGCAAGCCATCCAGGCGAGGGAGGAAGCTCTGCCCGCCGGGAATGGCTGGGACCATAGCTTGATAATCTGACATCAGCCTCTTCGAGTGTTTGTGTTCGTCTGTGTGGTTGAAGCTGGTCCACCAGTGCGCTCTTCACATTTCAGGCCACAGGGAGAAGAAAGGAGGGAAATTGGTAGTCAAATGATTCTTTTGATGTGAGTGACGCAGAGGTTGCATATGGTCCATGGTTAGGGCATTGTCACATAGCCACAGCTAAACAGAAAGGAGGCAGGAAAGGGAGTCAGATCAGGTGGCGTGTATGTGCTGTGTTGGAATGCAGTTGATGGGGAGGAAGATTCTGTTGCTAAGAAGAAGGGAGTGTGGATACCGCAGAGCCTGCGTCCACTAGTCTGGGAAAGGCTCTGTTTGCAGTCAGACGGCAGTGGTGGTCAGGTCTAGACTCAGTAATATCTTGGGTCTGTAGAGGTTATGGGTAAGGAATCTGAGGCTCAGAGGTGCCCCAGAGCGCTCAGCAAAACGGTAGCGGAAGCAGAAGTAGAACTTCTGTCCCTGTCTGTTTCTCCTTCCATCGCATCATGCCAACTTCCTAGGAGTAGTATTCACACTAGCGGAGTCTGTAAATGACCCAACGATTCCGCAAATGCAGCAGCACTGGCGCTCAAGGCTTGGGAGTTACCGTCTGCTCCTCAGGGCCTCCGGTGACCGGTCTCCACCAACAGGCACACAGCGCTCTTGCTGCCTTGCCCCTTCCCTGACTGCGGTGTCAGGTCACCCAACATTGTCCTGCTGACCTCAGGTTGCCTTTCAACCCCGTGCTTAGGCTCAAGCAACTGCCTTCCAGTGGAAGGGAGTTGGCATATGAGATAAAATCTCACTGTCATCTGGAAATGGGTAAATATTAGAATATTTCTGTATCCTCCCCCTCTTTTAAGATCCAGTCTTTTGGGGGTATTGGGGAGAGTGTGTAGCCATGGAAAAAATTCTAGTTTTCTCCTTATTTCCCCCATGGTATTTGCTTTTCTCCCCCAATCATACCACCTGTAATCCCTCACTTAGTCTCCTCTGCATCCCCAGCCAGCTGTCAAATAAAAGTTAATTCTAGTGTTTCCACTACCCTGCTACTTCTACAAGAAGTCAACCTCCTTCGGTATTTTTTTCTTAGTGTTTTATTGCTTCCTGAAAAAAAAATGGTGAAAAGGCTAAGATAACAAAATGCCGTCTAGTAGAGAAGTCATAACACTGGAAGAAATCTCAGTATCCTTGTGTCCGTGTCTCATGGTCTTCTCTGATTTTCTCCTTTATCAGCTCTGATGTATGCTGTTACCTTTCCCTGGAACATTCCACACACGCACCTGCCCAGCCCTCCTCCTCGCCTCACCCTTAAATCCCAGTTTAAATTGCACGTCCTCATGAAGGCCGTTCCTGCAACTTTAGACTAGATGAAGATAACTATGTTCCCACAGCATTCGGGTTTCTGTATACGTTTTTATCTAATGTCGTTTTTTTCTAGAAAACTGTGAACTTAGTGGGAGCAGTGGCATGTCTCGCTTATCCTTCACTTTAGTCCCGGTTTCTGGCTGTAATTATCAAGTCAATACTGCCGGGTCGGGGGTGGGTGGTCGAGGGGAAGATGGCGGGGAGGAGAGGAAAGAAGAGGCAGACAAAGAAGCGGGTCTTTCGGGGTCCTTCCAGCTCCTCGCCGTGGTCCTCAGGGAAGAGTGAGCCCCAGGGCCCCACAGCTAAAGCAAGACACACGTCTTACAGGCCACGGATCCCTCTTCCTCTTTCCAGTCTCCACTATTTCTCTGCTGTGCTCAGTTTGCCTGAGATACATACAGCCACACCTTCAGTAGGTCCTGTACTTTGAGTTCCACGTTATTTTACCGGAAATACCAAGGAGTCTTGAGGATGGCGTGAGGTCACCAGCGTTTCTACCAGGAAAGTGCTCTCTGCCTCTGACTAGAGAAGCCTGACTTCTCTGCCTGTCAGTGGTTTCCAAACTGTCCTGTGGGCTCTGGTTCTGCAGATGTGCCTCAGGGGCTGGGGGTGAGGGAGGCCACACCCCCTCTTCCATCGGAAGGACCCTCATCATCATTCTTTACAGTCGTTACTCAAGCCCATTTCCCCAGGTCCTTTTTGATCCCTCCTTCTGGGATACCCAGCTCATCCAGGGATCGTCCTCCATGATTCTGAAACCAAACTTCTCATGAACAATGAAAACAGCACCTACAATTACAAGAAAGCCCATTCCACTTCACAGAACATCTTTTTGCTCTTGATGCGTTAGGAATGAAATGTTTGTGCTGTGATACTTGTATGGCATTCAAAACAGTAAAATGCCTTGTGTCACCACAGCACTAAGCGAAGAAAATAAATAATGCTTTTTTTTTAAGAACTACATCTCACTTCCTTCTTTAAAGACAAAACTTATTTTCCGTATCTTGTTAAAAGGCTTTTCTGCGTTTCAAACTTATTCTGCCCTTTTATCCCGGCAGTTTTGGTGTTGTATCCCTCTGGTTATTGTTCTAAACTTAAATACCTCAGTTCCTTCTCATTGCCTGTACTTCCCTTAGAGGGAACGTGCCCTAAGGCAACAGAAACCCAAAGAAATGTATTCTTATATTTTTTGCCTGGCAGAATCGTATGTTTTCTTTAGTGATTAAGGTTATTCATGCACACACCTCAGGAGCTGGATGGAACACGAGAAGATTTAGTCCAACCCCTCATTTTACAGATGAGGAAACAGAGCCCTAAAGAAGTTAAATGACTTGTTTAGAGCCATAGATTAGAAGATCCTTCTGTCACTTAGGAACGTTAATTATAAGCAATAGAAACCTGCTCTGATTATCGGTTTTAGATTATAAACCCTTGGAAAAAGATAGTCCTATCTAGTCTTAAAAAGGTAGTCTTTTTCTAGTCTTGTTTGGCAACTTTGATTTCATTTTTAAGACGATGACTCTGGCTGCTCCCTGGTTGACATGATACAACAGATCCCCGGGGGCCCTGCTGATATCACAGTGCCCTCTGGTCGTCAGGAGGCTCCACCCGGTCCAGGCATCTGTACTTAACAAAAATAAGGGCCTTTTTAACTTGGGACTCAGTGGACGTGACAAGACTTGTCTTGTTGTCTGTGGTGTTGGCAAGAGAATTTTTTGAGATCCATTGAACTAGTTTGTAAAAAGACGTACGCACAGCTTCCCAAACGTGCACTAGACTTAGAGGTTACACAGTACGTTCTCACAAACCTCCGGGTTCTCCTCGTTGACAACCGATGAGAGCCCCAGAGACTCCCCACGCTGGGCGAGCAGCTCCTGTGGGTCCTGCGTTTCTCCTGCCCCAGAGTCCTGCTCAGATGGGGGCTATTTCTCGTTTCCAGGCCCCAGGAATGGCTACGTGATTCTGTATGTCTGCAGCCCCTCTTTGAGGAACAAGTCTCTCCGTGTGGCAGCTGCATATCCCTGACATGCTGCCTAAGCTGGGAAAAAATTCCAAGCCTTTTTGATAGGAAACCTATTGCTTGGTGTCCCCTGTGTGTTCCCTCAGGAAACTTTCTGTGTAACATTATTAAATGGCGTCAGTGGCTGAGAACAGTTCTGTGACTGCTCAGTCACTTCATGCTCCACATTATGTCAGTTTTCTTCCTATAAAGGGGAAGGCAGAAAATGGGTACGAGCTGGGTGTCCTGGAAGCATCTTTGGAAGTGAAACCCCTGATCCATAGATTATTGTCACACTAAGGAACCCACATATCAGTCAGTCCAACTGGAGAGCAGTCTGTTCCTCCCTGCGTCTTGCTGTTAATCGTTGACAAAGATGCAGTAGTCCAGTGGCGTTCCTCTCTCCCTGTCGGGCAACTGCAGCAAATAGCAGCTTCCACCGGAGCAGGAGGAGCCCAGTTTCTGAGCAGTCCACATGTCAATGTCGTGGCTTGGTCCTGCAGAATGAAGGTAGTTCTGATTAAAGTAACAATTCATGGTCTTGAGCGTGGGCAAATATCATCTCATTGTTGGTGTGTAATGTAAAAACTCACAAAACTGCTATTATGGGTTTTACCTGACCATTTAAAGCCAATTATCATCTCTGAACCTGCTATTATGAGTGTTGGGATTTACAGTGTTTTCTTTTTAAAGGAAGGGCTACATAGCTGTTTAGGTGGATTCTTTCTTACATAAAAGATTGACTAGATCAAGGCTTCAACGAGGCTGCCTTATGATCGTCAAGAAGATAGCTGCCTCTGGCCCTTGCCCTGGTAACTAATTGCTCTCGGTGACCAAAAAGAAAAATTGAATTTCAGTTCTAAAAATATCCTGGCCAATGTACTATTTAAATGTTAATATATGTGTTGATTACTTTCTCCCCAAATGATGACAATTACTACCATTTGGCATTTTACATTTCTAGAAGTATCTCAAGGAAGAAAATTAAAACCTTACAGTAGAGTTGTATCTTGCAAAAAGGATTTAACAGCGGCAGTGAGCCTGGGTTCTGACAGCTACTAGATAAATTTGGAAGCCAGGAAAGATAATCAAGATACTAAGGCGCATGTTTTAATCAGTCACATCGGCATAGTTGCCAGGTAATGGAGCTCATCAAAGGGAGGGGTGTATTCCATGTAGCTCTGTTAAGTAGTCAAGCATCCCAGAAGCTGGTGATATCAGATGCTCTCAGTTTTCTGGGAAACTTTACCAGCTCAGCAGACGAGAAGCATTGTCCAAATTCTTGTGCTTGCTAATGCCGCGTTCTACAGTCTTTAAGTACATCTGTAAAGATAAAGGTGCTGGAGTAGAACCAGTTTGCAGAGTCAACGTAGTGCAGGAGAGCATTCTTGGTACTATTTTCTCACCTCATTAACAAAAACGCATCCCACAGACTGGAAAAACATCTCAGTAGATGGATATCGGAAAATTCAAATGAGCATCTCCCTCATAGTCAGTAGTAACTCCCTGCTGAAGGCAGAAGAATTTATAGGGTTTGAAGTACAGTTAATCCACAGCACTGCGTGCTTGCACGTTGCAATAGTTGGTCCCAGGAGGTTTGAACTCAGACATATGTGTTTACTTCAAAGTGAAACAAGAATTCTGATTACCTTTTAATAGGAAAAGAATGGAGTTGGCTAGGATATACAGGAAACACCCTTTTATTGCTGTTACCTTAGTGACGAGGTTTTTAGTAGAGACCCACAGCTGAAACAGAGATTGTTCTGTGAGTAGCAGATGCACAGAGGGAGATGGGAGCTGACCACCAGCATCGTAGGGGTCCATGAGAGAGGCAGCCCTCCCCAGGACCGTTCACTGGTGTTTGACAAGGGTCACGGAAGGCCGGTGTCTCACCCGACTTCGTCCTCGTGACTTTGGAAACGATAGTAACTGTGCATTTGCTCAGGTTCTTGCTTGATAAATACGTTCATTTTCCTTAAGTTTCTGTGTGAGCCCCTTGGTGCGTGGCTGTAAATCCAGCTGTGCCGTGGTGCTCACAGTGAGCGTGAGTGTGCCCCTGTTAGCGGGGAAATCAAACCCTCTTGAAGCTGTGACGGTGCTGAGCAGTGTCTAGCCTTCCTTTGTGTTTACCCTGTGAGCAGGTCTGAGAAGCACAGACGTCCCCACAGACTCCAGACGTGTGGCCTGGCTTCTCCAATCACGTCTGCTCATCGTCAGCCTGCTGCTGGGAACTGGAGTTTGAGCAAATTTTCATGAGTTGGGATCATAATTTATTTTAGTTGCTGGTGGACAATAATGGCTGAATAGCAGTGGGTTGAGGTTTATGAAAGTGGTATTCAGTTTCCTGGGGTTGATGCTGCTCTGAACTTGAACAAGGCAGTTACGTATTCTGTAAAACATCAATGATATAAGTAGTTTATATCTTACCTTCACAAAGTTTAAATGTATGTGAAGATAAAATGAAAAGAATTCGAGTTGTTAGAAGAAAGCTGATATCCAAATCAGTGGTATCTTAGAGAGAAATTTCACAGTCATGGGAGCCAACCATGGCATTAACTAAAACCCACAGGTTTGTGTTGGAGGAGCTCATGGGAACAGTCTCATAAAAAAATACTGCTTGGCCAGAGGAGACAGAAATAAAGATGTCCAGATGATATATGAGTTTGTGGACATCTCTTTGTGAATAGTTGAAAAAATATATATGTGAGCAGAGAAAAGGAAATTTGGTAAAGGAATTATTATTATTTAAGGAAAAAATACTAGGTTATTGCTTACCAAGAGTTTTTGCAACTGCCTTCTTTTTAAGGCAATTTAAAATAACAATTAAAAATTGAAAATTACAAAACCTTGTAAATTACTTTGTACTTTCAAAGTGATACTTTATTGTTCTGCTCTAGTTCAAAGGCACGTGGACTTTCTAAGTCTCCGTGCAGGTCATTTCTTTTAGGATCTAGGAAAGGATTTCTATTTTGTTGTGCTTTTTCTGTTACCAAAAATTAATATTGAGTTGAAAATAAATTTTAAGTTAAAGCACCGTGATGAATATTAAAAGGTTCTCCAGCAATTTTCTGTTATTTGTTTCTTGCAGGCTTGTACAGCATATGTGGATTTTATGATTTCTGTGGCCAAATTGATTCGTCAGGAAAAAGGATTGCCCATCGATGAAAAGCAGCTTTCTTTGGAAATGAATAAAGTCATGGAATTGGAAAAAGAAATTGCCAATGTAAAATGCATTTTCTCTAATACGCTGAATAATGCTAACCACTTTTTTTCTCTCTCCTCTCTATCATATTTTGAGGGTAGAAGGTGCAACTCCTTAACCAAGGTGATAAAGACATAGCTCGGTAACGGGTCACTGACTTCAAGAGGACCTTTGAAACTATCGAATTTTACAGTAAACTGCCTTCCTGACACCAGGAGACATGCTCGGTTTGACAAATATTAAACTAGATGCACTTAATTACCTGTCCAAGTGGACTTCACCGAAGTCCTAACCATTTACATCCAGCTGTTGTTGAGACGCAGGACATGCCCGAGTGCTAGCTCTGCTAGCCAGCAGAGCTGTTTTAGATTTGATATGTACAACTGTACCTTACGTTGACGAGATCGCAGAGCTTGTCTCTGTCCCTTTGCTGAGAAGTATGCGCCCTGAGCATGGCCACGTGACAGTGTGACACACTCAGGCTGCTGAGCTCAGTGGAGATGCACAGGAGCAGTTGAGCAGCAGAGTCGGGGGGTTGGTTCCTGAATTCCCTCTGGCTCCAGATGGACCCTTGGAGTCTGAGTTGGCACTTTCTTGCCTGACCTTCCTTGGAGGGGGTCTGCAGTCTCTGCGAGTGAATGCTGTGCAAGCAACATCGGGTTATTGATTGAACCCAGGGCCAGTTTCAGTCTGGGATCCACAGGGCTCTCTCTGCCGTTGCAGACAGCAGCCAGCACTCCTGAATCCCCATCTGCTTGCCGCTCAGAACCTTGAAGACTGAAGCTCTTTGAGGGCAATTTTAGCTTTCCTGGGGCCACAGGAAACCAAAACTCTCCGATCAGAACCAGACTGCACTTGGCGTGGCAGCTGGAGGAATGGCAGTTTGACAAGTCACATATGGTTCTGTGTTGGAAACAGAATTATGGAATTATGGAAGAGGACAGTTCCTTCCCTGAGTGTTTACCCTTGGCGCCTCCCCAGGCCGTGTGCCCCCTCAGTCAGCCTCAGCCCTGCAGGACTGTCTTCCCTCAGAGTTATTTGTGTCTGAATGTCCTCTCCCATCTTAGACTCTGAGACTGAGGTCAGTCTTTGTCATCTGAGTCACCTGTGTATCCCTAGCAGTGTCGGGCATTTAATTGCATGTGGGATCTGTTCAATAAATAATTTTTTAAATAAATGAATAAATAAATGACCCAAAGGGGAAATTGGATCCCTTGTCACTTGAGGAATAATGCCCGTTTTAAACTTTGCGTTTTGCCTCTTCTCACTTAAAATGGCTTTTACTCATTTCAACCACTGGTTGGGGAGTTGTTCTTGCAATTTTTTTCTTGGTTCTGCAAAAAAGTAAAACTGGGTGCTGTTGAGTGTGGAGCTAGCAGGTTAGGCAGGATGGGAGGACGGCCACCAAAGCAGGGTGCCAGCATCTCCTCAGACAACTTGTGGCCCCACTGTGCCGCATGCCAGGAATTTTCTCTGTCTTACTTGCTTTGCATTCTTGCAGAAACCATTGTGTGGCTTTTTTTTTTCCTGTCTGAAGTTTTGGTGGGACACTGAATGGTGCTGGTGGGTGGGGAGAGACAGAGTATTTGAGAGAGAAATTGGAGATGACTATATTCAAGAAAGTTATTTATAATGTGAAACAGCCACAGACACGACTGAGCTGGCCTTTAGCCATAAGGGGAAAGAGGCCTGCAAGTATTCTTATGTGGTTTGGCAGTTATCAAAATATAAAAAGCATTTTGAAGAATTTTATACTCAACACTGCAGCCAAATCTTGATAAGTGTTACTGAATGTACTTAAAATCTCTTATATTTCACTTTTCTTCTTGCTGTGACAAAATAAATTACAAAGTAAGTACAGGATAGAACTTAAATACAATTATGTTGCACCTATCCTGTATTTCTTTTTCTCCTCATATTTGGTTATATTTTTCTAAATAATTCTTAGTTCTAAAATAATGATCAAAAATTAAATCCCTAGGCTACAGCTAAACCTGAAGACCGAAATGACCCCATACTTCTTTACAACAAAATGACGTTAGCCCAGATCCAGAATAACTTCTCACTAGAGATCAACGGGAAGGTAAGTGGCAAGTTTTATAGCCTCTCTCGTTGTGCCATTTCTAAAATTGTAACGTTGAAATACAGTTTGTTAAAATTTGATGATTTCTTATTTATTGAAATAAATTGAACATCAAAATAAATTTAGATGACAACCAACCATTTGACTTCATGACAAGACCTGAAAAAAAAAACACTATTTGAAATCATTTTATTTATATTTAGTTAGAGTAAATTTCAAAGGCAAAAGTCCTTTCAAGGCAGCTATGCAATAATATTAGAAACTATCATCAAAAAGGGTTTGGAAAACATTAAAACTGAAAATCCTTCTGAAAGACCATTATATAGCCATGGACTTGGACAGTCAAATAATAAAAACACTAGACTTCTTTTTAACTCCTAAAAAGAGTAATTTATTCATGGAACTTGCCGTGTTCTCATCAAGGCCATCTATAGAGGTGTTCCGAGCAATAATGGGGAGATAGAACACAAGAGATAAGAAACACCTGTCTCATCAATTCCACTATAACCAGCAGTTGACATCTCTGTGCTTAGTTGTAATTCACGAGCTGGTGTCTGATAATCTCCACTCGGGGCTATGCGTGTGTTCTCCTGTGTCAGTTGATGCACATGATCAGGAAATGGAGTAACACTCACAGGAAAATCTACCAACTACCACATTCAGTGGTGGAATTCTCTTTGGCACTCATTACAGTAAACAAGGACTTTTCAAAAGCATAACCTATTGAGTTAGGAATTTCTCACATAGGACTTTGTAATATAATAAGTGTTTAATAAATATGTTTTGAAAGAATGGTTCAAACCACCAAAGGAAATCAAGAAAAGTACATAGCACCTCATACTTGGTAAGTGATCATATACTTATATTTATATACGGATATATATAAAATCATAGAGCCTAAGATATTGGTAATCTTAAACATTCTGAAACACTGAAATGTGACATTTCAGCAAGATTTGCATAATCTTCACTTCCACTGTTTTTTTCTTATATCCACTGGTGGTTGAGTAACTACAGTTCCCATTTAAAGAATAATAATAGAAAGACAAGATTCCATCTTTTGGCAAATCCAAACCCAGCTTTTGAAGTGTAAGGACTGCGTGCCTCTAGACCCAACACTGCAGTCGAAAATGTGTTTGTTTGGCATCCTTGCTGTGCCTCTGCTGTGACAATCGTGTGCATTCGTTTACAGCAGATCTCCACTGGGATGGATGACTGTGCTCGAATGGATTGTTTATTAATACCCACTTCTAAAAGATAAACAGTTTATACCCATATAAATTTTTGCATAAACCTAGGAAGCTTTCTTTTTAAAGCGGAGTTTCTTTTTCTTCTTTTTTTGTATTGGTCAGACCAAGAAGGTGGCACTGGCCTAATTTCTGGTGCATGTTCTCTACACTTAGAGACTTGGCTTTTGCTCTTAAATGGTTGGCTTAATTCTGCTACCTAAATAATCATGCTGCAGAACTAACTTTTATTCAAAAACTGATTGAAGCAATTGAAGTAAAACCCCAAACAAACATCAAACTGACCATTGTGATAATCATATAGTGATGCGGCTGATACCCTAACCGCGTCTGACGCCATAACCGTAACTGAGTCTTGGAATCAAGAGGAGAAATCCATAACTACTGAATATTTTGTGCTTGCTTTTTTCCAGCCATTCAGCTGGTCAAATTTCACAAATGAGATCATGTCAACTGTGAATATTAATATTCCAAATGAGGAAGATGTGGTTGTTTACGCTCCAGAATATTTAACCAAACTTAAGCTCATTCTTACCAAATATTCTGCCAGGTAGGTGTGTCAGCGTGCACATGTCCTCAAAGTCTACATTTAATGTCACATTTCAGAAGCTTTGTAGCCTCATCTTTTCTGTTGCTGGGTGGTGGGTTTTTTTATACAGAGATCTTCAAAATTTAATGTCCTGGCGGTTCATAATGGATCTTGTAAGCAGCCTCAGCCGAACCTACAAGGAGTCCAGAAATGCTTTCCGCAAGGTGAAGAAAAAATCTCTCTTTTCTTAAGACTTAAAGCTTAAAGAGATACCCAGTTATGAAGGCTTGCCATGTACACTGCTAGAATGTGGTGAACCTTGCCAAGAGACAAAATTCCAAATGTTGGTTATTCTGCCCATGTTTAAGCTGTGTTGCCTAGGAAAGCCAGTTTTCATGGGCTTCCCATCCTGTGATTGTCCACTCTGGCACCATGACTGAATTGCCCTGGAAGGAGATGCATTTGGTTATTTGAGTGATTCATGAAGGAATACTGGCTTGGTTTTTTGTTGTGTTAAGAGTGATTGCAGGGACATCTATCTCAGTCAGTTTGATTTTCGGGTGCTCGTAGCACAGTGGACGTACAGACAGATGGACAATGTTGAGATGGACAGTCCACTGGGAATACACCTCTCTGGAGACGACCAGAAGGCCTTTTATTAGGCTGCACCTACATTATTGAACCAGTGATCTTTTCACTCCTGTTGTGAGGGGAGAGGGCAGGAGGGAGTGAGGAAGGAGAAATTCTGGCAAAGGTATTGGTTGGTGTCATGGAAAGGAAATAACACTCTGATTAAAATTTTTAGTTTTTACCCATTAAAAGAAAATGCAGACATGTTTTTAAAATTAAAGAATGTAAAAATGGTGTTTTGCTAATTTCCCTTACATAAGTTAATCCCCTTATTGGTACTTAAATTCATACACATGTAGTTCTTCTAAGCACTGGAAGTTCATCTAAAACGTTAAAAAACAGAAATGTGTTTTCTTATGTACCTGATTTCTCCCCCGTTACATTTTTTGGACATTACTTCAGGTTTTTTAATGCAGTGGTAACAGTGTTATTTTGTTGTTGTTTTTTTCTAAACTGTCTAGAAGGATATTAACTTGTAATAGCCAGAAGTTCTACTGGGACATGCTCCTGAAAATATCCCTTATTTTCAGATCCTATATAAGTAAACAGTTCAGTTGGATTCCGTTTTATCGTATGCAAGGACACACGGCCTTGTGAGGAGAAGCAATGAATGTTGCGAGCACTTAGGAGACGTAAAGAATAGAGTCCTGTGAACCTGTGCCCTTCCCGTGCTCCAGCCGTCTACCTCTGGTCAAACCCCTTTCCTCCCTCCGTCCTGCAGGCCCTTTATGGCACAACCTCAGAAACAGCGACCTGGAGACGCTGTGCGAACTACGTCAATGGGAACATGGAGAATGCTGTGGGGAGGCTCTACGTGCAGGCAGCGTTTGCTGGCGAGAGTAAACACTTGGTAATGTCCTCAGCACGATGGGCTGCCGGCGCCTCTTTGTACTGCTGGCAATCACTAGTCCCTGATTTTGCTGAAATTTTATTAATCGGCAGAGAACACTGAATCATAATTTGCGATTATTTCCCAATAAATCTCATCCTCCCCACCCCAAGGGTCTAGTTGTGTTTCTGATCCTCATACTGTTTAGTCGAAAACCACCTGTCCGTTTCCAGAGGCACTGTGTTCGGGTGCCCGGTCACGTGTTCTGTCAGTACAGTCATATGTAAACTCTTCTGTCAGCAAAATTGACCAAGAATGAGTATTTTCTTAAACACCTAGAAAGTAAACTCGGGTTATTTGAAATGTAAGAAATATACTCCATTTTTCATTGTTGCTGAAATGAAGACAGTGGAACTTAAAGACACAGCAACAGAATCTATTGAAATGCTATTTTATGCTTAACTAAACTACTAATGGCAATGACAGCTAATATTTTATGTTAGTTCTTTTACAATAATGGAAACCATTACATTCTAAAGATGACGTTTTATTAATGTATATATAAGACCTAGTTAATCATTAATGTTAATAATAGCAATGTTGCTTTAAAAATATAATTATCCACATGTATCCATTTGTCTATAGATTTAAATTTATTAACATTAAGTCACATTAAGACAGCTTATAGCTCTATTTTTTAAAATTTGTGTTACAAAAAATTAATTAATGGCCTAAATTGTCATCTTCTCTTCTGGTTTGAGGTTGAGAATTTGATTGCACAGATCCGGGAAGTTTTTATTCAGACTCTGGATGACCTCCCTTGGATGGATGCCGAAACAAAGAAGAAAGCTGAAGAAAAGGTAAAAAGAAGGGCAGGGTAACTATCAAAGAAAACTTTCTTTACAAGAAAAGAGTAAGTTTTAGGAAAGTTCAGGAAAAAATATAATCAAGGATTGCATAAAATAAGAACAAGCTCCTTCAAGGTAAAGTGTTTCCAGGAACAGTTTTCATGGATAAAGATTTTTTTCTATGATTTTCATCTTTTATTATCTCTTTGCAACCAGCTCCTACTCTCCATGTTCAGTTCAAAACTTTGAAAGATCTCCAATTTTCCTTTTTTTTAAAACGAAGACTTCAAAGAATAAGAGGGAAATCTTGTGTGAACAAGTAAAGAATTAAAAGATGCTACCAGTGGTTTATATTCCTCCTCCTTTTATGAAACATATCTGATAGGCCTCTACCAATGTCTAAAAATATCCTCTCAATGTTTAATGCAAATTTCCAGCTAAATTTTTTAGAACATGCCCTATTTAGCTTTTTCTATGGCCTAGGGAGAAATAATACTAGATTTCTGTCAAGCAAATGCAAGGTGGTGTATTATTTGAGTATTATAAGGTGACCTATAGTTAGAGGGATTTGAAGGAGCCTTTTTATAACTATTCCTACCTTTTAATATCTTGCATAAGAGTAAAGGTGAGATTTCTAAGGAAATCTTAGGTTTAAATTTACTAAGATCATTTGTCTTGATAACTATATAAAACTGGAAGTAACATGTCCAGTGAAACTGTACATGCCCTATGAGCAATATGCACATGCAGCTTGATTATGCCTCTGTAGTTAGGGCGGCAGGAAGGACTCACCATTCTCTGAACTGGTGCAGAAGGAGTCCCTAAACCTATTCTGATAAGAGAGACAAGCTGAGGTCCACTTCTCTTCCAGGATTGTCTCGTGGGAGAACTGTCTTTTTCTGCTCTCACAGCGCTGGTGGGGCAGGTTAGAATTTAGGCTCCCCAGTATCGCTGTCTTTCTGTCAGTCTGTGTCCTCAGAAGCTCAAGCTGGTTTTGCTCCTCTCACATTCTGTTTATCCAGGACGTGGTTCTGTAGCCAGGAGGATTGTCCTCAGTCACCATTTCCAAAGGTGGTGTCACAAAACACCGAAGCTGCAGGTTGTTCCATGAAAGAGTCCCCTGGTCGAAAGAGTTTAGGAAACACTTCCTGTGGGAAGGCTTCTCTGCTCCCGCCATAGATTAGGCTACACGCTCCTAGGGTGGAGTTTATGGCCCCATAAATCACACTTGAGAGTTAGTACCCGTGTCATTGCCGAGCATTGCTCTTTACCGTAAGCCCTCTGGGGGCAGAAATCTTTGCCTACCATCGTATCTTCAGCCCCTTACAAAGTGCCTGGCTCATCACAGACCCTTGAACACATATAGAATGAGTAAATGGACAAATGGAATCCTCCTCTTGGACACTTACAATAACCTAATCTTGACTCTAAGAAGTCCTGCAATAAAGAAGCCTGCTTAATGTTTTTGTCACAGTATTTACCAAAGAATTTGATAATAAAGTCTTTTTACGTAGTACCTTTTATTTCTGTAGCATTTGTGTCCCTTGGAACACTCTTTGGAGAAATGTCTTATGGAAAATAAAGTACCATTGAGAGGGGGCTGATTTGTAATGAGCCTGTGGTGTGGAAACCTACACGGCAGTGCGCTTGGCCTGACTGACTCCGTGACATGGATCCTGTCTGGTCCACTGAGGAAATTCTGGGCTGAGGAAGCAGATTTGTAATAAAACCACATGCGTTTGATGGCAAACCAAATAACTCAGAGATACAGGCATAATTCCACATGAAAAATTACACCAAGTTGTTTAAGAGCACTGTGATGTGGTAGACTCAGAAGTCAAATATCTTTGAGAAAAATGAGAGAAATAAAAAAAATGGAAATAGAAATAGCAAGTAGTAAGAAAGTGGTAATAATGAAATAATGAAAATAAGTAAAATAAACTATTTTAAAGTAATAAAATTTAGAAAAGGTAGTAAACAAGTGGTAAATAGGAGCTGGTCTCACAGGAAAATTGTTTTCCATTCGTTTAATTAATGTCATTCATTTAACTTTGAGAAGATAGGTGCACTGGCTTCGGAGACCACGGGAGAAGATAAAAACTCCGGGAGCCAATATTCAGGAAATTTTCAGCACTAAACCTGTGAGCCCGTATCTGCTTCCTCAGCCAATTCAGCGAGGTGGAAAGATAACTATAAGCTGCTAGAATGGGAGCCCTAAATATTACCCCTCCTGTAAAATCGAAGGAAAAAGCTTTTCAGAGAAAAAGTTCACAGAAGTACCATACATGTGAACAATGACTTGTCAGTTCTCATTTTGCTTTTCTTGGAGAGCCTATGAGAATAGGCATTAGAAGCTAAGTTTCAGACCTATTTTTTGTTTATTTGGAACCCCAGGAAGAAGCCATTGCAAAGATCTCTGTTCAGGTGTTATTGGATATTCTTTTTGTAAACTGTAGATCAAGTTATTCAATTGCTAGTCATGGGCAAATTATAATGTTTGTATTTAAAGTTACACAATCATCCTCACATTCAATATTATAATTTTCACAGGCCTTAGCAATTAAAGAAAGGATTGGCTATCCTGATGACATAATTTCAAATGATAACAAACTGGATAAGGAATACCTCGAGGTAAGTCTGGAGAGACTGTGGGTTGATGGTACCTGAGGCCGGTGGCCACGTCGTTGCTAACCCGGGGGGTGCAGAAATTATGTGAAACAGCCACAGCCATTGGTCTTCTTATATAAAGCCTTCAATACTGAAGCCAAAACCGTATGTTTCAGTTTCAGCCGTTTGTTTCGTTGGCATGACCTGTGCGTGGTTTTTCTTTCTTTGGCTTCTGTATGCTCCATTGGAAGGGTAGTAAGAGTGACCTGCATCCTTTAAAGAGCATCAGGGTAGACGTCAGAGTGATGAACATCGGGGCACTCAGCCTCTTATCTCATCTGTCCAGGCCTGAAAAATCTAATCTTCAGGTTCCCTTCCACTTTCTGACTGTTCCTCACTTGGATAAACCAGGTCATGCCTTTTCTATTTAAAAACCCAAAAGAAAAATAGACTATTTGGGAACTGGAAACTATTTTATTCTCCTCCAATAACGGGACAGTGAAAAGAGAAGAGAGTTGATTGAAGTCACTGCAGTAGTGAGCACAGACTCCCTGAGGGTCCTGTTGCTGACCTGTGGTCTCCACGGAGACCCTGGTAACAACAAGGCAATCCTTGCCCAGGTCCGGGGACAGTGATCCTGATCCACCGATCACTGGCCTCACCTGGGGCTTGTAAGCCACAGTGCCCTGGCCTCCCTTTCCTCTTGAAGAAAAGCTTGACTATGTCTTTTCAGTGAGCTGCTGCTGCACACAAGTGCGGGGCCCTGGGGGCAGGGTCTAGTGGCTGAGAGCACAGACTCCAGCCAAGCTGCATGGGTTCAAATCCCAGCTCCCCAGTCACTCGCCTGAGCAAGCAACTAAATTGCCTGTGCCGCAGTTTCCTCAACTTTACGATGGGGATAACTGCCTGTCTTCATGGATTAGCACAGGGATTAGAAGAGTGAAAGATACATTTCAAGTGCTTAGAAAGGTGCCTGGCGTGTCGTAGGAAGTAAATGAGGATGTGCTGCTGTTGCGTGTGTCGGATAAGGATAGCATTCACACAGTGCAGCTGGTTGGACGCTCGGTCTCATCTGCTTAGCTACCCAAGAGTGGACTGAGGTAGGGATTCGCTACTACAGCAGTGACCTGCAATAGAGAACTAGGTAGTGGAACGGAAGACTTCTTTGGCAAGTTTTAATGCTCTCTGTTGCTTTATTAACTGATAGAATTTAAGAAAATAACACCTACGTTTTTTAGCAAAAGTTTCAAAGATACTGGTGTTAATATTTTTCCCCAAATCTTTTATATAATACAGTTGAACTACAAGGAAGATGAATACTTTGAGAACATAATCCAAAACTTGAAGTTCAACCAAAATAAGCAACTAAAGAAGCTTCGAGAAAAGGTGGACAAGGATGAGTATGTATATCCGGTTTCTACCGTGTTCATTCAGAAGAGCGCCTTTTCCCTCCTCTTTGTGGGATTGAGAAAGAACCTGACTTAGAATATCATTAAAAAGTACCGTGTCCTCCTCCTGTAGAGACCCCTAAGAGCATCTAAGAAGATCATACTAAAGAGGGGTCAGGGATTTAACCAGATTGAAAATGTTTTCATGAAGGTGTCCTCAGACTACCTCGTTTCTTTGGTTTCTTCTCGTTTTACGGCCTGTCCCCTCTACTTTGCTTGTGGACAAGGTCCTCAGGAATGCCCTCACCTAAGTAACCCACAGCTCCTTCAAGCCTTCTCTGAGGCCTTTCTTACTGTACTGAGAGTTCCTCTGCCCACAGCCCAGCTGTTTTCTGTCGGTGGATCATCCCACAAGTCCATCCCCTCCTGATTGCCCCGTGTAACACCTCTTTCAACCTGTGGTAGCCAAACGTGAGACGCCAGACATCACTCTCGTTGATAGCCTTCAAGTGCTCTTAATCTGCTTCTTAGTGGGGTTAGGACTGCGTGTTAGCATGAGTTTAAGGTTTATTTCTCAGTTAAATGGATGTGTCTTACCTATTGATCAGCATCTATGTTTGTGAACCTCAGTCCCTAGGACTGCTTACGTTGACTTTTTCCCACTGGGCTCAAAGCTCGTAGAGAGAAGGGCTATTCCTTTTGACCATTAAAACCTCAGCACCCTGCACAGTGCTGAACACATAGAAGGTTTTCAGTTCAAACTGAGTTAGTGAATGAGTGAGCAAGTGAAAAATACACTGACTTGACTTGTGTGCTGACTGACATGATGACATGCCAGTGTGGTGCTTGGTTCGTGCCTGCACTCGTGTATTCTTTCAGCTATTCACTTATTAAACTAATGCTCTGGAATGTGGACCAAGCCTGGGTGTCACTGGGTACTGGGAGAATCAAAGGTGGACTTGGACTGTGTTACATTACAACCGCCAAAGGTAGGAAAGACACGATGTAGGGAACTACCACCGGGAGGGAAATGCTGTGCCAGGAAGGGGACAAAGTGCCGTGGGACCATTTGAGGACAGGACTGTCCTGTTCTCAGTAAACGCACGACAGGTTGGACAGAACTCCTGAAGGCAAATGTCAGTACGTTTCAGTCCTCGTGCAGCATTCTGAGCCCGTCAGGTACGCTGAAAGAGAGACTGATTCTTTTGCTGACCTCTGGGTTTATACGGAGTAAACGTTGTCTTGTCTGGTGCTGAAAGGGGGCTGCAAATGTCAGGGAAGGTTTAGAGTCCCAGCTGGGAAAGAAGGAAGGAGAGTGGGTACATATAGTTGGTGTTATACTTGGTCGTCACATCCTGTCTCTAGAAACCCACAAAAGTCATCGAAAAGAAAACTCTGTGGGCAAATTTATAATCTGAAAAGTTTCTTACAAGTCTGAATATTTTTATTTCTTTAAAAATACATATACTTACATTTAATAATTGTTAGCACTGTGTAACTTATCTGCAGACAAACATTGCCAAATATTCTTCCTGAAAATGGCTACTATAACCTGCATCCATATGACCCGAGAAGATTTCTTCCTAATTTTAAAAACAGTTGTTGAATTATTGCTTGATGTTTCCTTTTGAAGTTAATGGGATGCCAGTTCCATAATCATTTTGTGAAATAGTTTGCACTTTTCATTCCCTTTCATCATATGTGTCAATTTTCTCTGAGTCCTTTCCTCTTTACTTTAGAGAATCAAAGCCAAAATTGTATACAATATTTTCAGGATGTTTGGTCTATAGACTGCATAGCTCAGGAGTACTTTTGGGATCCTTTCCATCCATTCTGCTAGTCAATCCAAGTGCGGTATGACTTATGAGGGCTTCTTTGCTGTACCAGCTCGTGCTTCTTCCTGGTCCACCTCCCGCCTGTAGACTGAGTGCGGGGTTCAAACTCGGCCTGTGCAGAGGAGTCCCCTGGGCAGCTTCTGCAATAGTGCTGATGCCCCTGCTAGTGATGCCCTGACCTGCGGGTGGGGACCCGGGTCCTGGTGTCGTCTTTAAGTAGCACCCCCCCTCAAGCAAGAACCCCTGCATTAGTGTTGGTTCCTTTTTGAATTGTATCACACTTGTTCATATTTAATCTTGTGAAATTTTTTATAAGATTATGGCTTTAATTTGGCCATTTAGGTTTAAAGTTTATCTTTTGTCTTCGAAAATATTGGAATCACTTTTGACAGCAATTGCATCAAGTCATTAGGATGACACCGTATAGACACAACTCATAAAAGTTCCTCATGGTTTATGGAGGTTTCTTGTAGGGAAAGTTTCTGACTTATTTTGCGTCTCCTTAATAGTAATTAAGTCACTACTCTGTTTTCTTTCTTTTTTATGTGGCATCGAGTTCAGGTCCTCATGGTGTGTGTTCAGGCAGATAACATCCATGCTTCTATTTTGTTCTCGTGGCCTGTAGTTGCCTCTCAGAGAATTACATTTTCAGATGCTCAAGATCCTCACTCCCAAGATCTTGTAGGAAAAATAGGTGTCTGTACCCAAAATTGATGGGATAAAAATGAGAAAAATTATTAATTATAGTAGGGTTATATTGTAGGATATTGAGAAAAATGATAAGGACTTAAATTTTCAAGGCAGCAATTAATTTAAATAAATTCAGTCAATTAACCAAATAGTAAGCTTCTGGGCCCTTTCCTTTCTCACATCATATACTCTCACTGGGCAGACCTGTGCACTGCTTCACATCTTCTACATTCGTTATAACCTCTGCATATTTGTGTCTGGCCCAGGTCTGTTTGCTGAGCTCCCCACCCGAATGTCTAGCTGCTACTGAAACTTATCCATGTAGGTGGTCCATCTCCCTATGAACACAGCATTTGCCATTTCCCCATATTTTCCAACAATTTCCATCTTATTGCTACCAAGACAGAAACCAGGGATTCATCTTATCATCCTGGACTGATCCCTTCCTCTCATCTCTGACATCTACAGTGATATTTACTTCAAATTCCCATCCAAAGAAAATGTTTACACCCACCGGCTGTTACTTAAATATTACACAGGCGGGAAGTGGAAAGAAGGACCCTCCATCTACCATCTCCATCGCCACTGCCTTCATTCAGACATTTCTCATTGTTCACCAGATATTACAATTTTTCCTAATCTTATCACCAGTCATCTCACATTCAGCTGATTCTCCTACTCCTGCCCTGGAGAGCTTTCAAAGACACCAGTTGAGTCATGTTATTTGCTGATGAAAACCTTCTGCTGTACCCCTGTTGTCCATATCATGCAGCTCCCCAGAGTTCCTTTAGATTCACCGGACCCCACAGCACAGCTCCAGCCACAGGAACTACTTCCAAGTCGTTGCTCCCTCTTTTCCTCCTCCTTCTCCCTCACCTCGGACCACCGTTTCTGCTCCTGTTCATCTGACAGAAACCTACACGTGGTTTGTCTCAACTAGAGCGTCACCTCCTTACTCGTAGCACCCGTTACACATTCCTCTCCACCTTGTGCCTGCGCTGGGCCCCACACGCATTTCAGTCACAGCACCTGTGCATTTAGTGCATTTAGCTGGACGAGCCCAGCTTGAAAGCAGAAATAGTGTAATTGTGTCACCAGAGCTTGAACGTTGATGAACAGAATGACACTTATTAGCTGTGTGAACTTAGACAACCTACATAAGACTTCTGAGCCTCAATGATTCCTTTATAAATGGAGGATAATATCTACTTTTGCGTTGTGGGGTCGTTGTGTTGTGTATTGTGAATGTGCCCGCCACCCAACTTAGATGCTCCTTAAATACCAGCTGCTGTTGGTCTTGATGGGACTTCAGGGTGGTGTAGAGGGGAGCATCCTAAAGCTTGTTAGGGTAACAGGGAACCCTAAGTGTAAAGCAGTTTAAAAACGAGCACTTTCATTTTTAAGGAGAGGTTGGCAAGGACATGTCATCCATCACTGTAATGAATTTTATGTAGGATGCAGATCAACAGCTTAGAGAGAGGGCTTTGATTAGAAGATGAGAAGGTCTTCTTTCTCCTTAGTTTGCATGTTCTCCCAGTCATATCACTTAGTTTATAAGTGTATTAAGGAAAAGAGTTTGATAATCATGCTGTGCCTCAGTTTCCACACCTGAAAATTGGAGGTGCCATCTGTCTTATATGGATGGTTTGAAAATAATGAAGGTATATGGAAAACTTTGAAATCTTGATGAGAGAATATTAGTAAATGTAAAGAATGACAGTGGTTATTGCAGTTACAAAATGAGAATTCTCCTTTCCAGGGGGTACTTGAGGAAGACAGAGAAACCATTGTCTTGTACTGCTGACTTCACAGGAGTTGCTTCGAGACCACTCGATGTTGAGCAATTGAACGCTTGCAGGGAAAGGGGCATTAACGATTTTGTTGTTCTAAGTTTTCAAGTTACACATGAGTGAGTGAAAGAGAAGTTTTATTGCCGGTGTTTTTGCAATCCGGTGGGTTTATTGTATCCAAAGGCTCCAACATCAGGCTGTCGACTTCTGCTTTTCTTCCCTGCTGTAAAAGGATGTCCGTGTGCTTGCACTTCATTGCCGCTTAGGTTCCTCGGGTAACAAAGAGAAGAGAAACACCTGGTCCCGTCTCAAGGGCATTTCGGTTCTATTTCCGTCCCATTGTTAGTTCAGCCTTGAGGCACTGCTGCTTAGCTGTCCCTGAATGCCCCAGACGAGAGTAAGTTGACCTGACAGAATTACGTCTCAGAAGTTTTCTCACTTCTCACTCTCCCGCTCTTTACCCTGCACACACCCATACACCTGCACACACAGACCCCTGGAGGCAGGAAGAGAAACCAAGGAGCAGGTGGTACTTGCTTCACCTCTCAGATCCACGCCTGCTCTGGGAGGCTGCTAATGTCTGGCCTCTGGCTTTAAAGGCATCTTCCGAAAACCTGCATTTCCATTATTTTAGGGCAAGAATCGCCACCTTTAGTTTTCTCTTCTGTTGTGCATTTTCTCTTTTCTGTGCTGCTATTCAAGGTCAAATTTGACTGTGTTCCATAAGTGGAAGCTTCTCCTGAAACTTTGAGGTGCTTCCAAATCAAAAGAGCTTACAGTTTTTGTTATATCACCATTTAATTTGAAAGGTATTTTCTTTGCTTTGTTAATTGAGCTTTTCCATTAACATAGTGAGAGATTTCGTGATGGACCACAAATACCAGACACTGAGCCTGGAGCTGTTATCATCGCTCTGTTTAGGATGGAATGATCTGGTCGCATTTGGATCCAGTACAATCACAGTACTCCAGGTTCTGATCGTTCCCAGGGACAGAAGGCCCTGTGCTTTTGAATCTGGGTAGTTACCCAGGGTAGTCAGAGGACGCGCCGTGAAAGATCTCAGGGGAGATAAGGCAAACCCTGCACACTAGTGCTCTGTGAACCTAACCGCCACAACTCTGATTTTACTTGAGTGTCCTGTGGTCATAAATAGCTACCCGTTTTTGAAGGTATAATTCACAGTGGACATTTTAATATGTCAAACCCTCCCTGCTGGAAAGTTACAAACGTTAAAACGCAGTCTTACACTCCTCAAAGTCGTATCACAGAAGAGCAGGAAGGCACTAACACGAAAGGTATGACATTTATTTTTACAAAAGCAGCAAACAGGAGATGGGTGCTGCCCGTTTCCTTCGCCTGTGTACTGATGGGATCTGTTGCTGTCTGAAACATTTGTTTCATGCATCTAGTTCCTTTCCTCTGTAAGATACTTATTAAGAAGAACATTCTGGATTGGCACCTTTTGCATTTCAGTATTGGCATTGTGCCTGAGTCCAGAACCAAACGATTTGATGATTTGACATTATGTGTGATTACCAAGAAAAATCTATGCAGAGTATGCGATCACTGGATCAGAAGTTCGTAATTGAGAAACTGAACCTTAAACCAGCTGAGACCTGGAAACTTGTTAACAATTAAACTTTTAACAATTATAAGCTGTTTACGTATAAAATCTACTGCCGCATTTGCTGTCAGGATGTTGAGGACACATTAGAAGTGCCTTTCTAAGGTCACCACAGGGAACAGTCTCTCCTCAGAGGCAGGGTGAGCGCATTCTCTGTTCTGCCCCTCCGGCCAGACAGCTTAGAACCGCGCTTAACCTGAGCCATCATAACTGTGCGAATATATGTAAACACAGTCCTAATGCATCATTTTTCCTGGTCATGTTTTTTATTTATAAAAATACCTTCTTTTATAATACTTTTTGGTCACACAAATGGAATCTACTTGTCCTATGTAGTTCCTGATCTCTCAGTTTTAGTCTAACACTCCTGGGCTCACAAATACATGTGTTTTTGTCACCACAGATCATGTGGGAAGCAAGTGGAGTTTAATTAAAATAAATAAATTGTATGCTTGTAATCATCAACCTGCAAGAAATTATGGATGACTCAGCTATGATGAAATTCGGGGGACTGATGTAACGGTCACACCGTCCTGTTTGAGAATGTTTTTCTCTATTTAAAACAACAACAACAAACATCAAACTAAAGAAGAAACACATTGATTCACCGCTCCCTCCATCTTCAAACTTATTTTCTTCCTAAAGAAAAATTCGTAGAATTGTTATCTAGATTTAAAAAATAGTCCCAAATCCTTTATGTGAATGTCTTAGTCGTGTTACTGGAGATAAAACCCTTACTTAGCTAGAATTTATCAGACGGTTGTTACATATGGCCCTCCCTCAGTTATTTTTAGGAGATCAAAACAGGACCACCTCTCACGTCCCACCATAGTCGCTGAAATTGCAGCTGAAGTGCTGACGGGGGCAGCTGACTCTCCTGCTCTCCTGGCCCAGCAGGCTCTGGTTTCACCTCCCTGGACGAGTTGCCCCTTCCGGGAGTACGGTCATAGTCGCCTCAGGGCCTGCCGCCTGGAAGTGGAGTAATGCAGTGAGGCCGTTAGAGAGTCTGTGGTTGTCGTGAGTGTGTGTGACAACCTTTAGGGGGTCACCTGAAGTTAACGTGGCCGTTTTCAGTGAGTGTGTAAGGATGGACGTGATGGTCCATTAAGATGTGGATGTTACTCCTATTGCACAAAGTGTTTGATGGCTGTTGACCTGCAGCCTTTGTGACGTCTGAGCAGAAAGGCATGGGACATGGGCACCCTTCCTTTCGCTTACCCTGCCCCGGAGTTATTGCCTGGAGCTGTTTTTTTCTGTTTTCTCATTCAGTCTCAGAGTTATTTATGTGTCTTTCTCTTCTCAACTAAACTAGAATCTTCTGAAGTTATGAACTGTATTTTATAAAATCTAGATTCCGTACACAGCCTAAGTCATGGTATACACAGACAGACAGACAGATCTACTTACAAACCAGGATTTCATTTTACAGTGGTCACAGAAATACACCTTTGCTTAATTAGTTGGAATGTCACATTTTTTAAAAATAACTTTAAATGGCAATCATCGGAGGCACGTTACCCGAAGGTAAGTACCTGCCAGAGGGACATTTGAGTCCCCCAGAAAGCTCTTTGTCAACCAGGAATTTAAAATTTTTAAATGTACTTGAATCTGAAGTTTAACAACCTGTACCTCAATATTCTGTCAGCTGCTTCAGAATTATTAGCATAGTTACCTAGTATGGGAACATAAAGCTAAACACATTTCAATATAACCTTAATCCATTGCCTTAATCCAATATGACCTTAATCCATTTCCAAAGAGATTCATTTGAATGGGTTTTGTACTGTGAGATGCCTCCATAAAAATTCATGCAAATGAAATAACAGATTGCAGACCTGAATACATTCTGATTTTTCAAAGAGTGGATATACTTTCAAATGTGCTCTCTCACCTAGTGAGCTAATTGTAATTTGTTGATGGTATTTCAAACAGAAAGTTAAGACTTGTCTAGGAATACTAATAATGCTTTTATTGTGGTGGGCAGACTGGGTCAGATAATGCAGTACCGTTTGTAATGAGTTCTTGTGTTTTCTGTAGGTGGATAAGCGGAGCAGCTGTAGTCAATGCATTTTATTCTTCAGGCAGAAATCAGATAGGTAAGGTCCATTCCTAAATAATTCTTGAATATTTTTCTGTTGTTCCTGACCCATAGTGAATTGCTTGACCAATTTGTAATACTCCCCATAAAAGCACAGCTCAGGCTGAGTTATTGATTTACTGAGTATACTCCTTGAAAGTACATGTGTCCATTTGCCTCTTTTCGCTATAATAGCAAAATTGAGATTAGCACAAGTCACGTTAAGTAGTTTTGTTCTTTTACGTTCTTCTCATTTGCAGCTGCATGGTTATCTTGTGTCTGAGTATCTTATTTCTAAATGCTGTTTAAAGTCCCTTGTATCTCCATAAAGTTATATTGACTTTAAGACTTTCTAAACATCAGCATCTTAAGTGGTTTAAGGTTCCAAGAGCCAACTTTCAGAGATCCAGTTTTCCTGGCAATTCTGTATGCTTGCTCTGGTGGAGACACTCCGGTATCATCTTTTTTCTAGAAGACTCCAAGAGGCTCAGAAAGCTGAAAATCTGTTATATGAGATTGAACCATATGAAATTGTGTTTACTTAACCACTTTTGATCAAAAAAGAAAAAAAATGTCATAGTTCACTAATAGTAATATCACAGAAATATGCATAGAATTAATACACGAGTGAATGTTGTAGTGGATAACTAAATGACTTATATAACAAGGGTATATTTTTTCTCTTCTTGGGAAGACCTTGACATCTTTACACTCTCTCTTAAGTATCATATAAATGGAGCCACTTTTTCTAAGGGTTTTCAGTATGTAGAAAGACACCCAATAATGCCGTACTCCCAGATGTGTTCTGAACAACAGTACAGTGGCTCTCCAGGTGGGCTCATCCAGCCCTTCACTGCTGAATGTGGTCGACAATCAAGAGGGAAGGTGATTTCAGCATTGTCCCAGACTACTCTTTTTATATCTGAGTTGGCCCTAAGCCTCATTTTTCTTGAATTCTGTTACTAATTAGAATAGAAATGATGGAAAAACCTGCAAGATTTTTACCATTGGTTAAAAAATAAACTTTAATATAACTTTTAACCCTTATTTTATTTTAAAGTTTGATGGTACCTTTCTCCTTTGCTTTTAAGCCTAGGAAGAGTTAGTTTAAGAAGATATCTACTTTTTCTTCCAGTATTTTTATTTTTGAACTAAATCCTTAATCCATCTGGAATTTATTTTGGTACATGAAATAAAAATGAATTATATGAAGTAATCAGAAAAGATTGTCTTTTTATAAGATATAGATAATAAGTAAGGCATGCGCACTTGGGTTAAAATCAGTGAGGACAAAGTCTAGGCTAATACATTTCCCAACTAGTGAAATGATTACCTAAACCCAGACCAGGGCCTGCTTAATGATCTACTCGGAACCTGTGCAGTCCATCCTTTGGAATGTTCCCAGAAACCATTCGGACCTTTTCTTAGAAGTGCCTTTGTCTCTGGATGTCTTCCCTTTGAAGACCTCTTTTTGACCTCCAGTAGCTCTGTCACTGTGAGGTCTGTTCCATTCTAGCCTTGGACTTAAACAGGATCATTAACTTTTGATGGAATCCCAAGGCATAGCGAGGCAGCCTGGACTTTGGTCCCTCCTTAGGGTAGACTGAAGGATAGAGCTTCGTTTTAATCCAACTCAGGAAGGAGCGTGGATCCTCTCAGACCTGGTGCTGATTCATCCCAACAAGAAGAGCCAGACAGACTCTCTGCAGGACTACTGTGGCATGTTCATCTCTTCAGCCCTTCCCTAGAGCAGATCCATACAGTTTAGGTCAAGACAGGACCTTGTTTGGCTCTGAATTAACCCATATCCCTCGAGCTGGCTCAAGCTTGGTCCACATCAGAGACTCCCTGATCAGAGAAGCCCTGGGAATGTTCTCATTTTGAATTTAATACCCTCAAACCAAACAAGCACACAGCAAAAGGTAAAAGTGGCCTAACATTTCTCAAAGTAGACAATTATCCTCTGGATAACCAAGCATTGTCTGTAATAAGCATTCTTAATATATAAGAAAGACTTTTTAAAGATTCTCAAGATAAATTCACCCAGTGGAAATATGAAATCCAAAAAATTATTAACCTCTTTTTGTAAGCTTGTCTGATAATAACAGCAGTTCAGAGAAAGGGAACGTGTCATGAAGAAGAGCAATCTTTGACATGTGTACGTTTTCTCTTTGACAATTCATTTAAATCTTTAAAATGGGGATTGTCTTAACTAAAAATAATTGAAGATCCAGATCTCCGTCTTTCTTCTTGATAGAAGAGTGTATGTGTGTGTGTATACATACACAGATATGTAACTTTTGCAACGCTATCTTAGTGGAGTTGGTATCATGTGCATTACACAATTAGAACTAGTATAGAACAACATGTATCTCGTAAATGACCCTCCCACCCTCACACAAATACCCTAAATTAGATCTCATACAATTTCTCATGGGATTGGTCTTTCTGTGTTATGATAAAAAAGAACGTGTTTTATTATCATGTAGGGAGTTATTCATATTAATAATTTCTACTTCTTAAATCGATTCCCACCACTTTTTGTCAGAACTCACACATGTAGGCTACATTCCAATTTTTATGCACCCCGCCACTTTACATCAATAAACAAGTTAACTTCCAGGGCAGGAAGGCATACTGAAAGTGTTTCAGTCACTGGTTCCTCTTCTTGCACATTTGCCCCATGGAGCTCTAAAAACCTTCCATGCCAGTAGGAAGGTTGCATCTGAATGCTTTGTCAAATGATCCAGGTGCTGTTGCATCATCTTATTAAACCTTAAAGTCTTGTCCAAGGAAATGATCAAGTCAGATGGGAAGTCTTACTACTGCTGCATTCTCTTTTTTCATTAACAGTGTAATTGTTTTTTTCAATTTTAGGAAATTTCTGGATTATTTGGTGTATTCAGCCTGGGTCGTCTATGACTACTTTGAGATAGTTACATTTTCTAAAGTTGTCTTACTCTTGGGAGTCTTATTTTCAGAATTGAAAAAAAAGAGTAAATGTGTGCAAACATATTACTATTCCATTTAGTATAAAAAGAATGTTTAATATTTTTCCAACAAAAATGGATTTTACCTGATTGCAGTCTTGAGCTTTATAACAAAGATTCTAAAATTGAATCACTGTGTAGCCTTAAAAAAATAAACCAGGGAAGCGAGGCGGTGGTGGACGAGGAGAAACACAGTCTTTTGTTTCAGGGGCCACTGACTTATTTAATTAACTAACTTGTTGACAATCGTGAACATAAAGAATGCACAACTAAGCTGTTGGTTATTATCAACAGTTGTGAAGTCTACTAGAAACAGTGATAAGGCGAATGGGAAAAATCCTCATCATGAGATTCAGCTGACAGAGTAGAAGGAGAAATCATAATTTGCAAAGCTGAACTTGAAGATAGTATTTAATATGAGCCATGAAAATCTTAACACTTGCCTGAAGAATAGCATATCAGGGTATAATTAAAGCAGCAGGATCTTTACAGTTAATGTTTAGTCTTGCTAGCACATTTCATAAAAGCATTTTATATAATGGGTGGATTTTAATCAAAGTACATAGTGTGGGAGATCGTGTTCACTTTAAGTTAATAAAGTACTGCACATAATTTTTATACTTTAAGCTAAAAATAATTTCTTGGCACTGTTGATAGCTCAGGCAGCTACATGTGAGGTATAACTTTCATCAAAATTCTTCAAGGGCAAAAGTATTTTTTTTTTATTATTTTGTCATTTTTAATGTTATGACAACTTTCCAGATTTTTTTTAAAGGTCTGGAGAGAATTTAAATTGCCCAGCATATTTTTAAAGTCTCCTCTCTACATATCTAATATTTATCCCTGAAACCCATGCGAGGCTGTGTCAGATTCACTCCACCTGAAAAGAGGAGAAACAGATCTTACATTTCTGAACGCCAGGGCCCGTCTCTTGAATTCTTGGCATCCCACACAGCAGTGGCCCGGGGCTTTGCATGTAATAGGTGTTGATACTAAAGATTTTTTTTCGATTACAGAACATAATGTTTCAGTTATTCAGTGGATGCTGGAGTTTTAAAACATGGATGATAAAATTATGAGGGAGGCAGAGAAGTAGGAGAGGCCATGGAGTTGAAGGCCAGGAAGAAGAAGCCGTATTTAGTTAGAAAGCAGTGAGAGCCATCCAAGGGCGTGTAGCAGGCGCGTGATGATGACGAGAGTGGCACTTGATCTGACTACAGGATCGTTCAACTTAGGATAGATTATATAGGACGTGGGAAGACCAATTAGGATGTTAAGTAATTCTTAAGGCAAGGAATGCGAGTGTGAACCCGGATGGGGGCAGTAAGGCTAATGGGAGAGACAGACAGAAGGATCCACTGGAAGGAAGGTGCGTGACCTGCTCTTTCCCTAAGTAGACGGTGTAAGACTCTGAGATGAGTAGAAGATGTTCACTCTGAGCGACTGAGACCCTTAAAGTGCCTTTAGCAGGAATAATAAAGTCAGGAGCCTGATGGCATAGAGGGGAAAATGATGAGTCTGAATGTTTGACACATGAAATTTAAGGAGTTTGTGAGACGTCTAAGTGTAGAAAGTTAGCACACCAGCGTACATGTCAGGGTAGATGTATAAAAATTATGTTATTTGTTTATTTACCACGGTCTTTAGGACACTGTAGTAAATTCATTATTCATTCATCATGGATTATTCATTTATTTGTCACATTTCGTAAGCGCCTGTTATGTTCCAGACACTGGTCTAGTTTTAGGTGCTAGAGATAATGAACTGAAAACACAAATGGACTCAAAAACAAACGCTCGTAAGTACAGACACACAAATCTCTGCCCTCAAAGGGCTAATAGTTGAGATGCTGTTGGGGGGAGGCAGACAAGAAAAAGAAGGACGACATCCGTAAAGAAGGAAATCAGCAGTTATAAACGCCTCCATGGCAGTAGAATAGGGTGACGTGGTTGAGGACACCTTTGATTGAGTGGCTCTGTTTATTTAATAAGCTGTTGTTGATGGATAAATGTTAGAGATAATATTAAAATACAACGTGTGTTATAAACTAACTATTTCTCCCAAATATTCACAATGGGAAAAAGACCTTCTGAACAAAGATGATCATTTTCACTGCTCTAAACTCCTCACAGCAGAAAGCAGTCTTAGTAGAGACTATAGAGTGAATTGTGATTCTAAATCGTGGAGCGTGGTGCCACTCTGAGATTGACTCTGTTGTATTGATAAAAAAAGACCTGCTTTCGTTTCTGTCATGGAAGATTTTTGTATACAGTTGACTCAAGCGGACATACTGGAACGGCATAGCAGTCAAGAGGCACAGCCCAGGCCCGCCCTCCAGAGTAAAGCCTCAAATCCTCTCTAACGGCCTTCTTTCCTCACAGTCTTCCCGGCTGGCATTCTGCAGCCCCCCTTCTTCAGCGCTCAGCAGTCCAACTCATTGAACTACGGGGGCATCGGCATGGTCATAGGACATGAAATCACCCATGGCTTCGATGACAATGGTAAGGTGCACTGACACTCTCCTTTGGCTGAGAAATACCCTAATAAACCTGATTAAGAGGTATTATAATTTGTCAGTACAAAAACACATTTATTCATCAATGTATCATTGGCCTAATAATCACCCCACTCTTAGTGTTCCTTTTAAATTGTTGCTTAAGAAGATAAGGAATTTCTGGTCTTCTTCCAGAGTGAGGTAAGCAATGTGTGCTTTACCCTCTGAGAGACAAAGCAAATATTCACATGGAGAAGACACCGTGAGGTTTGTCAACACCAATGATAATGTTTTGTCTTGTTTCATGATTGTTCATGTCTTATCTCTCCAGACTCTTACAGGGCACAGTCCATGTCCCAAAATCAGATATAAAATCAAAAAGGAAGGTTCCCATAAGTCTCTTACACACAGGTTGTCAGGGGCTGCTGCTTCTTTTTGCATCTTATACCTACCGCCCAGTGCAGGGCCTTGCACGCAGGAGGCACTTAAATGAGCGTATGCTACCCCAAGTAGCCAAACAGATTTAGAGTTTCAGTGAAATTTGAGATGAATAGAAGTAAAGACATGAGGTATGTAAGGAGGTGATAGTTGATGCTGTGACAAAGATTGGTTCACAGTGGAAGAAAATGGGAAGAGAACAATAGAGAGAACATAATTAGGCCTTAACTAGACCCAGCCTTAGAGAGCCAGAGAAAGGAAAGGAGACGGGGAGCGTGCGTTTAAGAAGGACTTAGTAGATGCCTGTTGACTCAGTGAACTACACAGCAATCTTCACAGGAAAGTACTGACGCTCCCCTGCTTTTTGTAAAATGGAAAAAAGGTAGGGGCACATAGAAAACTTCCTCAGGGTTACGAAGCTAGGAATTGGTGGCAGCAGGATGTGAGCTTAGGTAGTTTGTCTTCACAGCTTTTCTCTTGTTCACTACATCATAGATAACTATTAAAAAGATGATAAAATTAAGTATTAAAATCTATGACATACGTAAATGCTGCGGTAGCTCCAGAAAGGGAAAGATCAGTGTAGCTGAGGGTTAGCAAGAAAACTCCAGGAGGAAACTGTGAGTCCACGATGTGTCATGAAGGTTTGCGGCTACGAAATGAAGGCCAGAATAAAAATATCACCCTTTTTAAAGTCTCAAAACGTCAAATTAAACAGACTTGGTTTGGGTGAAAACCGTCCAATAGAAACAAGGCGTGATTTCAGGAGTGTTTGTCTGGTGGCCCTGGCTGAGGTGTCAGGAGCCAGGCAGGTGACCGTCTGGATCAATACTGAGGCAGGTCGCGAGAAGGCCCTGGCAGGCCGGTTTCATCCATTCTGGATGAGGAAGGAGGTAACGAGTTCCCATTTTACTGAAATAAATGTATTTCAGGCAGAAATTTTAACAAGGATGGAGACCTCGTGGACTGGTGGACTCAGCAGTCTGCAAATAACTTTAAAGACCAGTCCCAGTGCATGGTGTACCAGTACGGGAACTTCTCCTGGGACCTGGCAGGCGGACAGCACGTACGTCATCGGCGTTCTCGTGAAAAGTTTTAGATATGTTCAATCTTAAGTGAATTATTGATGCTTTCTTAACAATCTGAATGCAGTTAAGGGTCTGTAAGCATCTTTTTTTTAACAGCTCAATGGAATCAATACCCTGGGAGAAAACATTGCTGATAATGGAGGCATTGGCCAAGCATACAGAGTGAGTGATAACATTTTCTTCCCATTTTAGTGGTTGCAGTATGTATTTATCACATTTAATCATTCATTTAAAGCCTTTTGCAAAAAGCACATGTAATGGAAGCATTAAACAATGAATAGAAAATGGAAAATACACCGGGAGAAAGGGGACGGTAAATATGGTAACCAGAGGGGCAGTACTGCTGTGTCTGAGCTGAACAGCAGTATCTAAGCCCCCAGGAAGCCAAGGAGAAGAGGAAGCATGGAGTGTTAACGTCAACAGAAATGAGGAGACGTGAGTTCCACAGACGACACAACATTTTTCTAAGAAATAATCTCTGAAATAGATTTTTTTTTAGAACAGATGCCCCAAGAAAAGGCTTATTTTAGAGTCATCGATCAATGTACTGAACAAGACCCTCAGTTTCACAGCAGGGGAAGCAGCATTTGGGACCATAGTGAGCATAAACCACAGGTGTAGTATGAAAGCCCAGTCCAGTGGCAGTGACACCGTGAGGGACTGAAGTGATGCGGTGCCGGCACGTGGCCTTGTGGCATCCAGACTGTTATACCCAGAGGAGCGTGTCGATGGGCTACCCCTCAGAATCTCGTTTAGCTGTCCACTTGTTCGTGCATCCCACAAACGCTAGTCGAGGGCTTTCCTGTGTGTTTGGCACTGTTCTCAGTGCTGGAGATACAGCTGCAAACCTCCCATAGAAGATGTCATTATCTGATGATTTGAACAAAGGTTAGAAGATTGGTCTAGTAGATGCCATGTGCACAAGAAAAAGTAGGAATTTTCACAAGAGTGGAGGAATACGGGTCTTGGAAGCAACAAGGAGGAGTGAGGTAGTTTTGAGACCTTCTTCCAACCCTGAGGTAGCCCACAGGTGGGAAAATATGCAGAGTCTCCTTGAGAGCGTACAAGGGACAAGGTGTCCCCAGATAGAAGCAGGCTTCTCTAAGACAAAGGTTGCATGGAGTGGATGAGGATGAGGGTTATTTGTTCCCCATAGAAATGTTTGGGTAGAGGGGAAGAGGAGAGCCTTGGTGGTTGGGTCAGGAAAGAGGGAGCATCAGAGCAGTGTGGGACAGATGGCTGTGGCCTGTGACTCCACAGTGGCCGGGATGATCAGAGTGTGAGGCCTGGGAGATTAAGCAGGCTGCAGGGTTTCCAAAAGAATGAGTCCCGGCCAGGTCCTGGGGAGGACGGGCTGCTGCTTCTTCGCATGCTTGGGGATTTTTTTACTGGATGCCAGACGTGGCACATCCTACCTCTTTGAGTGCTGGATATTTTTGTTTTCCTGTAAGTATTCTTGAGCTTTATTCTGGGACACAGTTAAATCCCTCAGAAGTGGTTTGATCCTCTTGGATCTTGCTTTTACAGCCTGTTAGGTGGGACTTGGATAGTGTGCAGTCCAGGGACAGTTTTTCCCACTGCTGAGACGAGACCCGACCGTGGGAGTCCTGAGGGCTTCCAGTCTCTCCTGTGTGAGCACCGGGCTTTTGTCTCTGATCTTTTGGTGGCCCCTCGCCTGGCTGTGGGTCGTTTGCTCAGGTGCACACTCACGCTCTCAGCTGGACACCTGAGTGAGCCTCTGATCTCAAGACCCTTTGTCTGCAGCTCTCTCCACTTCAGCGCCCTGTCCTGGGTGTCCCTGAGCTCTCAGCTCCTTCTCCTCGACTCAGGGAGTCCCTTGGGCTCCAACTGGGTTTCCCTTCTCTGCGCTGTATCCTGGAAACACTCAAGGCGACAAGCTGGGCCAGTTATTTGTTTATGTCTCACAGAGATTGATGTCCTTTTTGTCTGATGTCCGTTGTCATGCAAACCATCATTTTATATATTTTGTCATCCTTTGGTTGTTTCAGTGGGAGGATATATCCGGTCCCTGTCACTCCATCTTGCCTGAAAGTAGAAGGCATTGGCACTCTTAATACTCCCATGGTTTTCTAATATACAGCCAGATTAAGAATCACTGCTGTAAAAATTGGCCAAAATCTGGGTTGATGGTCTTCCATGGAGGTCCTCACCTAAAACAAGCACAGAATTATTATAAGGAAGCAAATTACAATTGTGCAAATATTTTGTTATGTATGAAATCCTAACATCTACTGCCTTGTCCCCCGGCTAGATTGTGAGCTCCCCGGGAGAGAGCAGGCTCCCCAAGTCCCCAGTGTCTTTATAGAGTAGAGACTCAATAAATCTGTGCTAATGGCAAGTAGGAAGATATGCAATATACCTTCTGCTTATCTAATTGATCCCTTTCCTTTGTATTAAATTGGAAGTAATTCATCTCAGAAAGTTGACTGTCAATCTCTTAAGTATATTTGGTACAAAAAAACTACATTTTTCAGTAGTCTCCATAAATCCTTAGAATTAAGAACATTTTCTGACATTCACGTAACCTAAATTTCTTATTCCTAATGTAGCTGAGGTTCAGTCTGTTTTGCCCTGTCTTCAGGGGGCCACAATAATTGCTCATTCTTATTCTTAGAACCATAGGATACTAGGCCTCTAAAAGATCTCAGGAGAATCCTTTGACTTTTGACGAGAATCACCCAACGAAGTCTGGTGCAAGTCTATTTTGGTGTGTCTATTTTGCTAAGAGTAATAACCAAGCCAGACACAGCAGTTACAGACTCCCTTGGCAATCCGTTCTTCCAACGAGCTGGACTTATCCATCCATCTCTAGAACAACATTTAGATCAGGTTTCATCACTTATCTAAGTCATGCTTTCATTCAGCTGACATTTATTGATCATCTGACATGTGCTAGGCTCTTGTCATCTGTTAATCAGTATCCTGTTCTTGTCAGGGCATTTGTAAATAAATTCTAGTTTTCTTTCTAATCCATGAAATAGTTATAGGTTGCCATATCTAAATATGATGATTCTGATATAAAACATTAATTACTTGGTTACATGGTCTTTTGCATAGATTTATATATAAATTTAGAAATTATAAACATCATGCTTCTATTTCATTAACTGCCTAGGCCTATCAAAATTATATTAAAAAGAATGGTGAAGAAAAATTACTTCCTGGACTTGACCTAAATCACAAACAACTGTTCTTCTTGAACTTTGCCCAGGTATCGTATCTTTCTTGATTGACAGATATGAAAATCATTTTGAGTTATAATTTCATAGTAAGTTAGATATTGCATGCTGAGTTTTCTCGTTTTAATCAACTGTGGCAGAGCATTTGACTTGACCAACTTTCGTTGTGTATGACAGACTGTCAGATCACATTCATGGGAATTATATTTCTGATTGCCTATCACTGAGCATTATTTGAAGAGTAAATGGTTGAGGAATGCAGAATTCCAATTTAATGTTTGCAATAGGAAGGTTGCTTTTCCCCTAGTCTGCCCAAACAAATAATCCTTGACTGAACCTGAGCGTATTGGTTTCCTTTTCTGTCCCATCCCTAGGTGTGGTGTGGGACCTACAGGCCAGAGTTTGCGATCAATTCCATTAAAACAGACGTCCACAGTCCAGGCAGTTTCAGGTACGTGGGTTTGAACAGCAGTCAACGTGCTCCAGAATTGGCTCCATTACTTCCAAATTCGGAAATTGGCTTTTTCTAACTCTGATTCTATGAAATTTGGAAATCTGGTGTCTCTTTTTCTTTTGAGGGTCACAGATGGGATCAACAGAACACATCAGGGTAAATGTCATGTTTACACAAGCGTAGCCTTGACTCTCTTATCCTCAGAATATGCGTGACCCAGGCTCAGTGCTTGATGGATGCAACAAAGATGTCGCCTCGGAACCGTGGCTCTATTTAAAGCTAGCCCAAAGACATTTCTAAGAGGCTGTGAAGGGTTGAGGCCCAGATCCAAAGAAAGATTTCCATTCAACATAAAGGGGAACTTTCCAGTAATTGGAGGTGGTCCAACATGGAATAGTCAGAGCTCCAAAGCGCCCCCAAATCTCCAGGAGAGAGTTCCTTGAACAGTCCTTCAAGGATGCTAGAGAAAAGTGCTCTGCAGAGGGGAAGGTTGAGTTAGAAGATATCCAAAGTCCTTCCCAAATCAGAAAATCTGAGAGAACGTTGGATTGAAAGACAATCACTCTACCCAGTTTCTGAATGTTAAATCCTAGCTCCCTGTGTATCTATTCAGGACTAAATTCCTAATGCTGCCCTTCCCCTATAACACTTCATCATTCATTTGTTGATTAACCAGAGCCTCTGAAAAGCAAATTAAAAATTTTGTAGAGTGCTTAGAAGACAGAGTTTGAGAACAAAAGAGAAGTAATGGGCTGAATTTTAAAAGCCCTTCCTGAAATAGATGTGAATGTACTGCCCAGATCATTCACTCCTGGGGAAAAAAAACACATTCTATTATGAAACAAAATAGCACATTTACAAATTGAAGAATTTACTCAACTTTTTCTACTATCAGCGTCATGAACATCATTTAGTATTTGCCGTTACAGTTGCTTCAAAGTCATTCACTCAACACTGTTTGTTGTATGCCCACTGTGTGTATAATCCAAGGAAACTGAGTCTTGCTGGGACATCCAAATTAGCAGCTTTTTAGGTAATGAGCAACAAAAGTCCGTGGATCGATTCCCATCATGGTTTTTCCAAGTAACTTTTAGTTTTAATTTTTAGAGTTGTCTTTTTCCTTACTAAAGTCTTCAGAAGTTAGGGTATAAGAATCTAATTCTGAGGAGAACAGAGAATAGTTATAAGCTCATGCAAACCACCATAACAATCGGATTTGCCAAGGCTCTTCCCTCCATATCCCCATGAACTAAAGCATCTATCCACAAAAACCAAAGTGAATATAAGTAATATTATTGTAATACCTGGTACATCTGATATCCTCAGAGGCTGGGGGTTGCAAATTAATTAATTTTTTGGTAGCTAAAATTTGTCTTTTGAGTATCAACGTTTTTATCTTAACCACTGGATTAAAATTTCTCTGTTTAAAATACATTTTCTACCTTCCTGCCTTATTAGCACAGTATCCTGAACAAAACCTACTCTTTTTTTTGGCTGACAGACTATTGTTATGACTAGTAGTTATTGTTTCACTGTTTACTAGTTTAGTGAAATCCTCAAAAGCTAGAGTGGGGAAGTGTATATTTATTCCTACACTGAAGAGCCACCCATGGTGATACTTTTTGACTTTTCATTTTGGCTTTTTATTGGGGTTTTCCTGTCTGTTTCTGTCCTGTCTCTTGCCTGTTAACTCTGTTGCCTGCCTTTAGCCGTCCATTCCTCCACTCCGATTAGCTCAGAAAACGCATCCTTATTCTCATATGGTAAAAATGAACACAAGCTTTGAAGTAGGACACACTTGAGTTCCACCTATGGCTCTGCCGTTTACGAGCTGTTAGCCTCTGTGTCTCAATTTCTTGATGAAAAAAATGAGGATTAAATTATCATGAGAGTTGCTGGGAGCATTAATGTTAATGTATCTGAGGTTCCTCCTAACATATATATGTTTGAAATTAGTACTAGGATTATTTTTAGATGAGAGAAGCATGAACAGAATAAGAATTCCTATGAATAAAGCATCTGGACTTTATTCCATTTCAGCTGGCAAGCCAGGGCTTTCTGTTGCTCATTTCTTACGTTGGATAGTTCAGAATATCTATAACTGATCACTGGCTAAATGATATATAGATAAATATGTAACCATTTTCTACCCCCAATTTTAAACTGAAAGCAATTTTATTATAAATATGTATAACTTTATATTTGTAAAAATATGTATTATTTTATTGTAGATATGTAAAATTATTTGTAACTTTCATTTTCTTTGTTCTGGCCCAAAAGATGCCTCTTTGAGTATTTTTCATTCATAACAAGAGCAGTATGTGTTGTTGTTTTTGTAAAGGGTAAATGGATTGCCAACCTTTTGTCAAGGAAATTATTATTTTCTCTGGAGGTAGAGGGATTTCCTTGGCAAAAGGTTGAGGTTACATTTAGTTTTGGAAACAGGCTGCTTCCTGGCTGTACAAAGTAGAACATTTTTTAAAGAAACTTAAGAACTAATAGACATTGAGTTGTTGTTGAAAATTGTGCATAGTGGTTTACGTAGACACGTTTCTAAAATGGAGGGAGATTTTGTGACCTTATGCTTATGTAGCCACAGTATTAAAAACAAAATGCAAAATATACTTGACATAAAGCTGACTCTATAAACCGTTTGTTAGATCTAAATTGAATCTATAAACCATTTGTTAGGTCTAAGCTGTAATTGTTTCCTTCTTTCTAACTAAAGTCTTACGTGCTTTAAAATAAACTTCTAAAACCAGTATTTAGAACAAAAGCATTTCCCCTTGATATTCTAGAAATTGAATCGGCAATTTAAATGACTTCTGTTTGGAAATCCAGTTTTTGTTAGCCATCCAGTCACTTCAGGGAACAGTTGTTATGATAATATTTACTATGCAACCTATAAACGGGTTTCTAAAGTTATTCAGATGTACTATTTCTTTGTGGTATATAAGGGTCTGATAGTTTTTAAAGCAAGTCCAAATAGACAGAATGATGTCAGTGTACCTGCAACTAAATGGTGGTGGTGCTGCTTCTGATGCGTAAAGGGCTTGATAGTGACCGACAGTGAGAAGAAAGGGCACTTAATAGAACTAACACCTCCAATAATGCAGGAATAAAATCATCCACAGCTTAATTTCTAATACTTTTGAAAGACCCTCCTGACTAGTCTTTTATGTAGACATTTTCAAGTAATATGGCTATTTTATTCCTCATGACTTCATGATTTAGCATGCTGAAGCTAAACCTTCTTTGAAAGACTGATGTTTTCTCCATTTACCTTGAATATTAGCATTGGCTTCTTGTATTTTGTGAACATCAGCGTGGATTTGGGTGAGCCGTGTAGAATTCCTGTTAGCACTTTAATCCTTAGCTCATACCTCGGAATCTATTCAGGCATTTATTTCCTTATGAATTTATATTGGGACAGATGCTGATCAATGTGACCTTACTTTAAAAGAATCATGAACAGTAATTAATAATAAAAATTGGAGAGTTTATTCATGAATGAAGCTAGTTAACCTTGTAGCCAAGTCATTCATTTAAAAGAAGTAACAAAAGGTTGTTGGAGGACTCATTGATTGCAAAAAGCTCATTCAGTAGTTCGAAAATCCAGTTAATTGCAGGCAGGGGTAGTCAGATACGTTATGGGAAATAGTCCATCCTTGGTCACATCATGGTCAACTCCATATCTCCTAGATGGCTTTGTTTTCCAGTTTTATCGAGAAATAATTGACATACACCCCTGTATACGTTTAAGGAGTATGGCAGGATAGTTTGACTTACATGTACTGTGAAGTAATTCCCACAGTAGGCTGGGCTAACATCCGTCTTCTCATATAGATACAGTAAAAAGAAAAGAAAAAGACGTTCTCCTTGTGATGAGAACTGTTAGGATTTTCTGTCTTAACTTTCCTGTACATCATACAGCAGTGTCAGCTGTCGTCGTCGTGTTGTCCATCACATCCCTGGGACTTATAAATAACTGGAAGTTGTACCTTTGACCACCTTCCTCCAATTCCCCTCCCCTACCCTCTGCCTCTAGGTGTTTTTGATACAAGTGATGATTTGCCAAGGGAATAAACAGCAGCAGTACAATAAAATATTTTATATAATCAAGTAAAAATTTCAAGTAAATCACTTTAAGAAATCATCAATAAAGCCTTTATTATCTTCTGTTATTATAAACACAAACACAAAAACTACATAGTTTTCATATAGCATGCAATTCATGTAAGTATTCTATGTAATATTAATGAACTATGATCCCACTCTTAGAGAAGGAGTTCGTTTTTATTGATAATGTATCCACTTTTTGAAATAGGTTATGTATGTCATCCACCCCAAGGTTTGGTGTTACAAACAACCAAACACTGAGTAGACCCCTAGGAATGTCGAGGAGCCCTGGCACACTGTGGACCTGATTCTCCAGAATCAGCTGTTGGGTGAAGCCTTTGGGCGGAGAGAGGAGACGGGTGAGAGGAGAGCTAGGGGCACGTCAGGCTGGTGTTGCTGTGTTGCTAACGCAGTGGTGTTTGGGGGGGACTTTCTTGTTTTGAGGTATGTTTTTTAATTTCTTTAATGTTTTTAGAAGAAATGTAGAATTACGGCATGGGTTTCGACATTTTTACTGAAGGACTTGTCTCTGTGTGATACATCTAAGACACAATACTTTGAAAGCGTTTAATAAAATAAAAACAGAAAAGAGCAGCTCTTCCCATTCTCCGGGAGCTTGCTCCTCAGTTTGAGAAGCTGCCAGGCCACCGTGATGACCATCCCTCAGCCAGCGTTGGGGCTTCCTCTGGTGGGAAGGGGATGGATTAAGTGAATCAAGCTCTCTCTAACTCAGAGTCCATGAGCCTGGAACCTAACGGACCAAAGAGCAGTAGGAATCCCTGATGTTGGAAACCTCTTTATTCCTACATATGTGGTCACTTTTGACCAGATATCAAGTGAATTTGTTCTTGAACTTTCAGATGCAAGACAGGACAAGTCGTTATTTTTTTTTAATCAAATTAATTCAAGCTCTGAGCTCCCAACCTAAGCCAGGAGGTGAGAAATCCAATTCCAGTAGTGTTCAGTGTCCTCCTTTCTGGGGTTACACAGGGATCCAGAGCATCACGCGGGCCTAGAAATTAGGGAGTAGCCTCCATCTCCAGCCTGCCATGGTCACTGCTGGCTTCCTTGCAGTCTGAGGGCTCCATCTGAAGTCTGCTGGTGTCTGCAGAGGCACGAAGTCCTAGAAGGAGTCAACCCCGCAGCCACCGGGAGTGCCTTTCCAGGGAGTGGGGTCGGCAGGAGCAGCGGGCCCGGAGGGCAGCTTGAGGAGTGGGCAGTCGGTCAGTGCGCTTGAGCCTTGAGGAACAAGATGTCAGTGAGGAGGCGGGGAAGGGAGGCTGGAGCTATCAGGACAGCGGAGGCGGTGGAGGGAGGCTGAATTTCCTTCAAGCCCCTGGAAGGTTTTAAGTAGGAAACTGAGGAATTTGATTTAAATTTTAAAAGATCCCGGGGACTGCCGTGTGGAGAACGTTGCAGGGAGAGAAGTGCTGAGATTCGTGCTCGTTCGCACTCTGCGCGTGTGGAGATCTCACCACATCAGTCTTCCTGCCACCCAGCCCGCCTGCCTCCCATACCTCCCCAGCCCAAGGGGGGTGTGGCAGGCGGTCCCCGGGGGAGGAGAGGGAAGGCGCTGTTGGGCAGATGTGGGATGTCACCTTTGCGTCTCTGTGCTGACCTGCCTCTCCCCTCGAGTGCTGCCTGCTGCCGATAGTGGGGTGATGGTGCTGTTTTTGCCCACTGGGGTCAGAGATAAGGGGAAATTGGCAACTTGCCCTTTCCAGTTATTCAGGCTGAATCCAGTTTCTGATATCTGTGGAGTTCTTTCGGAAAAAAAGAAAATAATTGTTATCTTCCCTGTTACATCAAGTCAACAAATATCTATTTAAAGTCTAATTTATTTAAGTTATTGTGTGAGCCCTTTCAAGATACGGTGAAAAATCATAATTTTTTTCTTTGACCAAACTCTTCTTATAACTAATTCCAAATATGAATTACTCATTTATTTTACAGACACGTATAGGGTGTTTATAAATTAACTCCCCATGACAACCTTAAGATGCAGGTAGTATTATTATGTGCATTCTATGGAAAAGGAAACTGAGGCACAGAGGCTAAGTAAATACAACTCGTAAACAGGATCCCGACCGTGTGTCCCTCTTCAAAACCTGTGCTCCTAGCTCCTGTAGTTTGTTACTTCCCCATTTAAGAATTCTGTTGATGAGAAGGAACAGACTCATTCTACCCAGTTTTTTTTTCCCTTTTAAACTATAAATTCCAAGTTCACTCACTTGGCCCGCATAGAGCAGTTCCACAGAGCGCACACATGGTGTGGACATGGGTGTCAGATGCTGATGGGACTTCTGTTTGTTTGTTTCACAGGATTATTGGGACTTTGCAGAACTCCCCCGAGTTTTCGGAAGCCTTCCATTGCCCCAAGGACTCGTACATGAACCCAGAAAAGAAATGCCGGGTGTGGTGACTTGCAGAAGGCACGCAGCCCTTGGCTGACTTCCCAACACCACAGAAATGGGGAACTCGACTAGAGAGAAATGGGCCCGGGGGTCACTGTAACTAAAGGGGTGGTCAGCAGAGAGCATCCACAGCTGGGAAGTCAGTTGTCCTGGAAAGAAAGGCATGAGGGAGGAGGGAGTCTAGTGTCCATCAAATCAGTCACTTGTCACTGTATAAATGAGGCTTAACCTCTAGAGATAATATGACCGTTCCTTTGTTTCTCATATAATCTGCCAGTTTGAGGTTCTCTCTTGAAAACAGTGTTGACCCCTTGAGGCAGACCAGATTTCTAATCACAAGGAGAAAGAGGAGGCTGGAGACCCCGTTGACACCGAAAGCACAGCAGTAACGAGAGTTAACAACACGCTGCCTGAGTCCTTATTTCTACTTTTATTTGCAACATTTACGGTCCTTCAAAACTTTTCCAAAGATTTCTTATACATATGGAGGCCTTGGGACTTAAGGCGGTTTTAAACTAATTTGCCAATCGTGAGTTAGGTCACTCTGAGATCATTTCATTTTAAGTGCTCTTAGGGCTAAAACGAGTGTCTAAAACTGCTGCTTGTTGTTCCTCCTTTGACTGGCACTGAGATTCTCGAGGCTCCTGCAATTTTCTAAGCAATTTCTTGTTCTCTCTCTCTCAACGCTCGGTCTTTTTAAGAGATTTGTAGTAATGTATAAATAATAATTTTTATATTTAATTGTTAACTACATTTATGACTAATTGTTGTTATAGGTAATCATTGAATATTGAAGTTTCTGACCAAGATAAATAGTTATGAACCAAGATCTGTAAAGTGATGTACAGATGAAGATTTGAGACTTTTTAAACTTATAAATCATATTGATAAAAAGTTTTAAGCACAAACTTTGAGTTAAAAATTGCCATTGGACGGTTGTCGGAGGATGCGTAAGATCGTGGCTTAAGCAGGATTTTCAGAGTTAAAGCTGTCCCTCAGGTGGCTATGGTAAAGGGAAGACGGCGTCCGTGTAGCTCTGCGTCTCCTTATCTTTCCAGGTTTGTCATCTGATGGAAATACTTTGATAATAAATTGGAAGTGTGAGCCCATTCTCACTGAGCCTGTTGTGTCAGCCGTCCAGCTTTGGAAAGTGCGTTTCTGAACAGAAATGAGAGGCTTGGGTGCCTCTGGTGGACCCGCTTCTAAAATTCTAACTCGATAGAGTTCTGCGAGGGGCCTGTCGAGTCCTTGAGAGGAGCTCATCTCTGCGACTTTTCCTGTCCTGTTGGCTGGTTAAGCGCATTTCATTACTTGGTATTTTACAAAAGAGCTGCACTTCCAAAATCCTTATTTTTGCTAACAAAACATGAAAGTCAGGGAATTTCTATCCAAAACATGAATGTTGGTTTTCCTGCCTTTTGAAAAAGGCCTATTTACCTATTTTTATAAATTGTTACTGAAATATGACATATATACAAAAACTTCATGGACATAAGTGTACAGCTCGGTGAACACAGCCCTGCAGTCAGCACTTGTGAGAAAGAGAACACCACTGGCTCCCGAGAAGCCCCTTCTCCCGACTCTCGCTTTAGTTTTCCGAGGGCGACTGCTGTCCTGACATCTAATACCATACATTAGCTTTGCCCGTTTTTGTCTTTTATGTCGATAGACTCAGTCAGCAGGTATCCATGTGTGTCTGGCTTCTTTCACTCGGCATTGCAGCATGACCTCACCTGTACTGTTGTATTTGATTGTGATTCTGTGGTTGGCAGGACCTTGAGAAGTTTCCAGGTTGGGGCTGTTTCAGATAGTGCATTTATGAACATGGCTGCATATTACCATTGTTTTTTACTTGAGATTTTAGTGGACTAATTTCCACAAGTCCTTTTTAAAATTATTATAAATGTTGAAAATATAGTTTCAACCTAACTAGGGATATCCTTATCTCTTCCCCCTTTATCATCACTACCATTATCATGGATAATTCAAAGTCTACTTACGTGTGTGTTTCCTTAAAATAAACTTAAAGCATTCCTAAGAAATATTAGTAGTTGGAACAATGGGAGCATCCAGCTCTGAAGGGAACAACTATCTCCGAATTATTTAATTTCCGCCCTGTCAGAGCAGCTGAAGAACCACAGATGAAGAGTGACTGGTACAAATTACGAAAGGCACGAGACCCCCCACTGCTCGCTCTTTAAAATGTCAGGCTCCCATCCCTATGGAGGAACTGGAGTGAAATTTTCTGGGGAAAAAAAACCTCTACAGTGCCCGGATCGCCTGTCTCTAGAAATATAAGATTTTCTGGAGCTAAGGGATAGACGAAAGTTGGACTACCAATACCTCACCATCACTCACACATGCAGATGTCGTTAATTGTACACGCACTGTTGTTGAGTTGTATGGGGACTTATGGTCTCTCTCAACCACTCTTGTCAGATAAAATCTATCTGTAATCTCACACCTAAATCCAGTTTCACCGTGGCCAAATCCAGGTCAAGGAAAGAGGTTAGAAGCTGAAATACCAAGCCGTGGGTGTTGATGTCACAAAGGGATGAAGACGGGAAGAAGTTCTGACAACACCACGGGTAAGGAGTCTGCTCCATGCTGCAGTGTCTACGTGGAGTCTAGGTTCAAGGTGGAAAGGATCCTACCCTGGGAGAAGAGGCCTTTCCTATTCTAATCCTCTTCTCCACTCATGACAAAGTGACCTTGAGCATTCAATCTGTTCTCTGCGTTCCCACCTGAAGTAAAGAGAATTAGTGTCTGTCTAGTTCTCAGCAAGAGAAGGAGAAGGTGCCCAATGCTGCCTTCCTCTTAATCTGTCCCCCAGTTAAGAGCCGCTGGGAAAGGTCATCTCAAGACTCCCATGTGAGTGCCTGAGTCCAGTTAGACCCAGTGTAGTTCAGAGAACAAGGACCAAAGTGTCATTGAGTTTGGGTCTGTGCTGTTGTTAAGTTTTCTGGAAAGCCTTTATCATTCCTGTTGTCACAGACGGAGTCCTCCAAGGAGATGATAACTCTTAGTTTGGAACTAAGACTCCACCCTGCCACAGATGGAAAATCAGAAGTTCTGTGAGGTTCCGGTCTCAAAAACACAATACAAACACAAACATTTTTCACGTTATTGCTTTTGTGTCTAGTCAGCTGTGTTCCAACCTCCTCCCCCGTGTAAGCCCCACAGCTTTTGTGTCTCGGAAAATGTTAAGGCCAAATGAAGCTTTACCTCTGTAATCTACACTTTCTGCTAGCTTCAAATTGAATCATTTTAAAAAAGAATGCTATAAACTTTTACCAATATTTCTTGTTTTCACCACCCCATTCTTCCAAAGGTACCATAGTGTTCTGATCTGATTTGTTTTCACAAGTTCAGTGAAAATGTTGCCAAATGCCATAGGGAGTCACAAGCACAATCTGATGACTTAGGCAAGAACCAGGAGTGTCTGTGCACCGTCCCTGGACTCAGGGACTTTTGTGCACCATCCCTGGACCCAGGGACTTGACTTTGGTTGATCAGGTGAAGAGAGGAGCCACAGGTGACTGGTGGCACATGTTTACTGCATTCTAATCTTTTCTTTAACAATGTTGTCTCAATGTCAGCTCCTCTGTATTTTGCATTTCCTCTAAAACAGTGAGAAACACTACTATCATTTTCAATTTCGTAGCCCAACTGCTGCGCTTCTGTTTTGTTTGACAAAGCAGATCCTCTAGGTTGTGCAAGGGAAGGCTGGCAGGAAAACCAGCTTTGGCTCTTGCTGGAAATGGCAATGAGCTGTCAGCTTGGGCAGTGTAGAAGACTGTAAGTCTAGCCATTGTGACTAACTTTTATATTTCTGGATTTCTTTTCTACCCAGAAACTAACAATTTTTTCAGGTATCAGGCATATTAACATCTGATTCCACTCCTATAAATGCACTTGCTGTCATCTCCAATCTGATCATCTCAAATCATAATACACCCTAAAAGTTTACTCTGTATCCAGGAAGACAAAAATGGGGTCAAGTACCTGGATTATCAATTACCCTGGTGTAAATCCTTCAACACATGTGCCATCAGTGCTCTATGTCCCCAGAACTATGGCATCAAAGATATAATGCCAAGATGTTCATGGCAGCTTTATCTATAATACTAAAAAAACAGGGAGAAAAAACTAAATAGCAGAAAATGTTCAGATTTGTTCAAAGAAAGTATCAAAAGGATGCAGTGTTGAATATGTATTATGATTTCAACTCTGTTAAAATATTATTGCATAGAAAAAGAGTTGGAAGAATATATGCCAAAAATTAACAGGGAATGTCTCTGGTTGATGGTATTACAGGTGATTCTTATTTCCTTTCTTTCCCTGCATTTTAAATATTTCTATAATGTGAAAACAGTACATTTTAAAAGTCACTTAAAAATGTTATTTGGAAGAAAGGATGAAGAGAGAAAATATGGAAGGGAGGGGAATGAGGGGAAAATTCACCAAAAAAGAGAAATATAATTCCCCTGAATTTAAGATGTATTATATTTAAGAAGCTATTCAGTTTGGTATCTCGGTGAACTGGGACCTGAGGAATTCGTGCAGAGGATCTGGGTCAGGAGCTCCCCACTCCCTCCAACGGGCCAGATCTCAGTTTTACAAGGTGGCTTACTGCCGAGTAGGGGAGTTTCCAACAGGTGGACCTTCCACTGACTGTGTTCGAAGTGGTTCTGTGAGGACAAAGCATGTGCTCTAGAGAGTGTGTTCCAGGGTTTCTTTCCCTGAAAATGCTAAAGGGTTGACTGGTCTGGCCACACTCTCCACCTGGTCTCTCCCAACACAAAACCCTAGCATTGGCCAAACTCTGACCAAAGTTGAGGATACAGCCTATGACACAGCTAATTCTAGGTGATTCTCTGCCTGTATTTGACTTTGGTTGAAATTGTGAAAATCCAACTCATGCTAGTTTAGCCAAAACTGGAGATTAAGCTGACCCACGTTACCAAATGTGGGGCAAGCATGAGTGACTGGGCCCTCTTTCCACGAGTCTGTTGTCGCAGACCAACTTTCTCCAAGAGGAAGCCGCGATAGTCACCCATGGCCAGGCTCAGAGATTCCCTGCCTCCTTCCCAGGGGAAGGGCAGGCTCTGACTGCAGTCCACACTTGACAAATCCTAGAGGAAACCTGATGGGCCCATTTTGGAAACATGCCTACCCCCCTGGATAGGGCACAGGCAAGTGGGATGTTGTAGAAATTATCATCAATCCCCTACAGAGTCGGAGAAGGGCGGTTTTCCCAAAAGACAAAAAACACCATTCCTAGAAGAGAAAGAACAAGAAATCAACGTCCAGAACACCAGTGACACTGGGTTTTTAGACTGTACATATTAAATTTTGAATAAATGAGAACTTTAATTTTGTTTGACCAAAATGAAGACATTATACATTTTAGTTAGACTTAATATTTAAGAAAATTAAAAGTCATCAATAAAAAAGGATGGGAAGGAAGAGAAATAATACTTATTATTTATTGTGAATGAGGCACATAATTTAGGTTGTTCATGTCAAGTTTCCATTTAGTGTAATTAACCTGTGAGTTAATGTTAGTACCCCTATTTTACAGATGATGAATTTGAG